CCCCCCCCCCCTCCCAACCTAAAGATGTCAACTTCGATCATTTGCTGGCTCGGATGTGAGGGAAACCACAGGGGAGCCCTTGCTGTGGAGTGTCATCTGTATACCCCTGTGTCTCACTGCCGTTCCTGTTGGTCCCCTGTCACTGTACCTCGATCATCTAGCTGATTTTATGGTGTACCCCTGTGCAAACCCGGGGAGGTGGAACAGGAGAGGGGTGAACCTTAGCCTTTGCCCTCAGCTTGTTTATGGTTTACTTGGAGTAGAAAGTCTAATGCACGTGAAACAACCAGGTGTCCTATATGACAACATGAATCCTGTTGTGCAGAGCAGGTGTTAGGAGTTCTGAAGGGAAGGAGTCTTAGGAGAACTTCAGGGAGGAGGTGGAATTTTGGAACAATCCTAAAAGAATGAGGATTAGACCAAAGAAAGTGTCATCTAAACTCATTGCCGCCCCTGTGGCTGGAGACAGTTGCCTTTGTTGTTATAATTCATTTTATTTAGTTGCCACTAAGCTCTTCCTGTCACCTGGGGAGCCTGCCCCCTGCTGGGACTGCTCAGGCTATTTTAGGCTTTGTGGAGCCACTCTCCCACACTGGCCCTGCTGACTCAGTGGTTCCTTTCTTGTAGCATATGGTGTGAAGAAAAACCTGCCCCAGGGCCCTGCCGCTGTGAGCGCAGGCATGTCCACCTCTGCAGGTGAGTGCTACTGCCAGCTGCCGATGGCAACCACGTGTGGGGGACAAGTGCTCTGCAGTGACACGTGGCATATGGGAGGGGGAGGTATAACCTATTGGTGGTCTGAGGTCTGCAAATACGACTCACCCCAAAGGCCTCCTGGTTCCCATGACAGAGCAGAGATAAGTGTGCCCCAGCCTTACCTTGGCCTTCAAGGGCCAAGGGGTGGGGCAGGGAGCTTAGGGTCAGGTATTCATACCCCAGTCCCCACTGTTGTCTGGAAGCCCCTGGCCTGCTCCTGTTACGTGTCACCCATTGCAAGAACCCGGGAGCCCCTCAGAAGCTACCACCCCAACCACACACTCTTCCTTCCTTCCTTCCTTTCTTTCTTCCTTTGTCTTTCTTCCTTTGTCTTTCTTTCTTTCTTTCTTTCTTTCTTTCTTTCTTTCTTTCTTTCTTTCTTTCTTCTTTCTTTTCCTTTTCCTTTTCCTTTTCCTTTTCCTTTTCCTTTCTTTCTTGGCTCCATGCCCAGTGTGGGGCTCGAACTCATAACCCTGAGGTCAGTAGTCACATGCTCTGTCAACTAAGCCAGCCAGGTGCCCCACACCATACACACTTTCAATAGGATCTTTATCAACTTGGGCTCTCCTCACCCAGTGGGTTATTTCTTCCATTGCTGTGATCCTGTTGTTCCCTTCCATTCAACAATTCATTGATTCAGAAAAGATTTACTGAGGACCTGCTCTGTATGAGACAGATGCTGTTCTAAGTGCTTGGAGTATGAACGTGAACAGGATAGACTAGACTCCTGCCTTCACCAGGCTGACCATTGCAGCCGGAGAGGAGGCAGATGGACAAATAGACAAATGACAGGAAACGATGACAGAAAATCATACCTACTTAGAAGAAATAGATGAGGCAGCAGAGATGGGGCAGGGGTTCATGTTAGACCAGCTGGTCAGGAAAAGTGCCTCCAGGATGGTAACACTTGAGACTGAGGGATAGCAATGAACCCACCACATCAGTTAAAAAAGGGCATGACTGACAAGGGGACTTTGACCCTTTGGCTAAAGATCCTGTAGTGTCCAGGTGAGGGGACAGTACCGTAGGCCAGCCACCTGGTGCTTCCCACATTGACCCACTCCTGGTGGCCAGGCTCAGCCAGGCAGGGGAGGGTGGCTTTGTTCCCCAGGATGCTTCTTAGTAAACACTGTCAGCGAGAGCAGGAGACCCTCAGATGCAGCTGCTGATCTCTCTCTTTCCCTCCCCCCCCGCCCCCGCCTTTCTTCCTTTTTCTTGTTCTGGTCATTTCTTCCCTCTCCCTTGTCCTTCTCCTTGCCTGCTCCTTTCCTCCCCAGCCTCCACCACAAACGTCCAGAATGATGAACTCTTGCACAAGGACTGTAAATTCCTGATCCTGGAGAAAGACAACACACCAGCCAAGAAGGAGATGGAGCTGCTGATCATGACCAAGGACAGTGGGAAGGTTTTTACCGCCTCCCCGGCCACCATCGCCGCAAGTATGAGGGAGCCCACGCCATGCAGGTTTCAGGAGAGACAGATGGTATAGGAGACAGAATGTCCTAGCAAGGTGGATTGAGACATTTTAATAAGAAAACCGGAGTTGCCCCATTCAAATGAAATTTACCTGCCTGAATAGGGTGCTCCAGGGTCTTCCTTGAATGTAGATAAACATTCAGGAACATTCTGGCAAAACACACCCAGAGAGGTCTTTGGGCAATGGGAAGTCTCCTAACCACAAGCACAGATCCGGGAGATTGACTCAGGGAAGCTGAGCTGTCTTCCTACTGGGGTATCCAAGCAGGAGAGGCCCTGGGGCAGAGTGGGGAGTGAGGATGGAGTATCCTGGGTGATCATAAGTTGTATGCACAGCTTCTTTTTCAGACGACACCCTGAAAAAAGAAAAGCAAGCTGCCTACACTGCTGACACCTGTCTGATATCAGATGCTAATGGTAAGAGGAAATCTGGTCACTGTTCCCTTGACTTTAGTCTATCTGCATGTTATTTATTCATCTTCTGAGACCTGGCTACTCAAAGTTGGGTCTCTAGACCTGCAGTTTCAGCCCCACCTGGGAGCATGTTAGAAATGAAGGCTGCCTGGCCCAGACCTGCTGAGTCAGAGGCTGTGTTTTAACCAGCTCTGCAGCTGTCTCCTATGCATGTTAGTGCAGCAGAAGCCTTCCCATGGTGTGTCTGCTGTCTACAGTGGGTTTTTTTCCCTCTGTTCCATAATTTCCAGAGCTACTAGAAAACGCTTTGCAAAGCACTTGCTACACTTATTTCTTTCCTTCCCAAATATTTGGATTCTCTCCCAGATAATTGCATTTCTTCACATGCTCAAGGTCCTATGTACTCTTTCCAGATCACTGATTTCTCTTCCTTTACCGACCTCCCTGAAAAGTTGAGTCTTAGAACATCTTTTCAAAATGCAAATGAAATCCCTTACAATCCTCACCAGACCCGACTCTGAGGAAGTGCTTACTTTGAAGACTTACGTTTTAGGGGTGGAGGTGGGGCTATGGAACCAAAAGACCCTTTACAGAATCTGATGAAAGGTGTAAACAGTTTTCTCAGAAAATTCCTTCTGTGCCCACAAACACTCAGTGGTCAAATAGCATCAGGAACTGGTGAACTAGCCCTCTGCCCCTCCACCCCTGGTGAAGAACATAAAGTCCTTTAACCAAGAAATCGAGAGTCATTTCTCATAAACATATTTATCGTTGAGTGCAAATGTCACCCCTAACATGGAACTCCAAAAATGTCTTGGGCTTGAAAGGTTTAGGTCACAAGAGAGTTAAGATCCTGCTTTTCACCCACCATTAATTGCTGGCCCAGCCATGTCTTCATTGATATAATGGTCGCAAATATCACATCAGCGAGGACTGAGTCCATGAGCGTTCCCATACGGTGCTATTCCTCAAGGTGCTTGGATGGCACATGTACCTCAAGTTTTGCCCAAAGTCAACTCACAGGCTGTCCTGTGGTTCTGCAGCTTAAAAGCTCAGGTCAGGGGTGCCTGGGTGGCTCAGTTGGTTAAATGTCCGACTTCAGCTCAGGTCATGATCTCACGGTTCGTGAGTTCAAGACCCGCATCAGGCTCTGTGCTGATAGCTCAGAGCCTGGAGCCTGCTTCAGATTCTGTGTCTCCTCCTCTCTCTACCCCTCCCCTGCTCGTGCTCTCTCTCTCTGTCTCTCAAAAAATGAGTAAATGTTAACAAAAATTTAAAATCTCAGATCAAAGCCTGTGTTCTTGGTGTTTGCCTTCCAGGGGACGTGAAGACTGTGTCCACAAAGGGCAAGGTCACCTCCGCAGGTAGGTAGCCACAGCAGATCCTGCAGTGACAGGAGCTGAGAGGGCTGGTTGTGATGAACAGAACAGATGACCACCCCTCACCTGGAACCAGGGCCCACATGAGCCCTGCACCTCTAAAGCGTTTCCCTGAAGGCCTGAGGAGGCAGGGTGGAGGGCAGTGGAGGGGGCTGGCAGGGGGCTGGGGCAGGGCTGCAGAAGGGTCCAGGGTCCAGGGTCTCCCAATACAGAGGAGCCACTGCTGCGTCTTCCAGAGCCCCCTGCCTGGGCTTCAGGGTGCCTCTAAGACCACACACATCTCTAGCCCTTTAGACTTTTCTCACTTGCTTACACAGTCTTGTGAGGGAAACAGACCAAGGGTTATCAGTCTGTTTTAGACACTAAAAATCCTTTTCACTAAAAAAAAGAAGCAGCAGCAGCAGCTTCCCAGCCATCCCTTAAGTGCTAAGTGTAATTTCGGGCACTGCAGGGATTACACAGGAGCTGAGGGGCCCAACAGAATGCAGGTGTGGAGGGAGACAGGAACGCTTTGAGTTTGGCCATAACCAAATTCAGGAAGTTGTAGCAAAATCCACGCTCGTCATCAAGATTTTTAAACTGAGTGCTTTGGGCTGCATCCTCTGCTAATGCCCGTACCTGCCTTACCTCCTTTCATCAGCAAGCATTCTATGAAGTGGGGAATCTTTTAACCCCACTTTATGAGAAAGGCAACAGGTGAAGGGACCTCCACTGGGTCATACACCTCTAGCCCAGGCTTGTCCCATGTGTGCTCTTCCCCAGCTGTGGCCCTGTGTGTGTTCCAGGAGCCAGCCTTGCCCACCTTGGAGCTGCCATTCACTCAGGCCCCCAGGAAGTCACCGAAAACCCCAGAATTTAGAGGGAAGAGGGCAGGAGCCTACTGCATTCCCCTTACCCCTCCTTTGTCTTCCACAGATGTTCACAGCTACAATCACCGCGGGGGCAGCGGTAGAGGCGGAGGTGGCGGCAAAGGTGGCGGCGGAGGGGGCCCGTGGGGGGCGGCGCCGGCCTGGTGCCCCTGTGGCTCCTGCTGCAGCTGGTGGAAGTGGCTGCTGGGCCTGCTGCTCACCTGGCTGCTGCTCCTGGGGCTGCTGTTCGGCCTCATTGCTCTGGGTACGTGAGGACAGTGGCAGGACACCAGGCCTCACTGCCCATCTGGAGGGGCAGTGAGTGTCCTGCGTGTCAGAGATCCAGGGGCCGGAGGCAATCGGGGAGGACCCCTCATTACTGCAGGTGGGGAGCCAAGCTCCAGAGGTACTTGGTCCGGGTCCCACAGCCACTCACTGGCAGGACTGGAGGCACTCGGTCCAGGTCCCATGGCCACTTGGTGGCAGAACTGGGGTTCTGGTGTGGCTCCCAGCCCAGGGCCCTCCGTCCCTGTCACAGCCTGCTATGCATTTGGCTGCCTGTAATCATCAGGCCGTGCGTGCTCAGGGCCTTTTTGATTTTCACCTTTTCCAAGCACCCCTATGGGTCTCTGTCGGCTCTCGCAGCAGCCCCCAGGGAGGATGGGGGACTGCTCTGTGGCCTCCTCCTGTGAGAAGAGTCCCAGGCCCGGTTTCTTCAGGGCGTGGTTACCATTTTGAGCAGCTGCCCCCACTGTTGGTCATGACACGTGGTCTCTGTACAGATTCCGGCCAAAGGTCCCCAGAGCCCCACATCAGGCCCACCTCGGGGTGTGCTGCAGGCTGGGAGGGTGCTGCCGGCTGGGAGGCCCCGCCTGGCTGACCGGCCTCTGTCCGCCTGTCTCAGCGGAGGAGGTGAGGGCACTGAAGGCACGGGTGGCCGAACTGGAGCAGAGCCGGAGCGGGGTGCTGCTCTACGATGAGAAGGTGGAGCGGAGCAACAAGGACCGGCTGCAGGGCGCCGCGCCCAGCGTCGGGGCCGACCTGGGGAAACTGGGGCTTGACGGCCACGGGCAGGAGGCGCTCTGGCTGTTCGTGAAGGGCAAGCTGATGGCAGAACAAGAGAGCGGTGAGTACAGTGCAGGGCAGGGCCAAGGCCTTCCGGGCTCCTGTGCTCCCTCTGTCCTGTGTGGGATCCTGGGAGGGAGGACCAGCATTATGATCCCATCTGACTGCTGGGAAAACTGAGGTCTGTGAAGGAGAATTGCCCAAGATCACACAACTACCACCCCTTGGAATCTGGTTCCTAGTCCCAGCTTCTGTGTCTTCCCCCAGACCGCGGTGCCCCCCCCACCCCGTCGTGTGTATGCACACGTGTGTGTGTGTGTGTGTGTGTGTGTGTGTGACACACACATACAAGCTGTGCAGCTAACTCCATGTTACCTTCTCTCGTAGGAAATCTCCGAGGAAGCCCCGGCCCTAAAGGTACTGGGGTGGACTGAGCCCTCACACTCTCATTTCCTGCCTGTGGAACAGGTTTTCTGGGTGGAAATTTTCCAAATTGAAGGATGAGCAGTAGAAAGATCTTAAGGTGTCTGTCGGGAGGGTTGAGAATTGGCTTTACAGTCAGGATATCTTAGAACAAGAGGGGAAGTTGGGCATCACTGAAGAGAGGCCCAGCCACGTGCCCCAGTGACGTGGTGGGAGACTGAAGGGCACCAAGCTGCGTGCCCGCCCACACCGCAGTGACGTTTGTGGGTCCGAAAACACCAGGAGAGAGTGGCTCTTGGGTTCTCACCCCACCTCATAGTTTTCGTGTGTTTCTGATTTTAGGTGACATGGGAAGTCAAGGACCTAAAGGTAAATCAAATGTGGAGATTTTAACCTAAAGTATCAGTAAGGGCTGGTTTAAAATGAGCAGCCTGCGTCTGATTCCCCCACACCCAGTCTTCCGGGCCAGCTCCCCTCCATGTAGGACTTGCAGACCCTTGGGCTTTTGAGGTCAGAGGGCTTAGTGACAGAGCAGGGCTCTATGTCTCTGGGGCAGCACTGTCCCTTGTCTCTTCTCAGGGTTCTAGGGACTTCCCGGACAAGGACAAGGGATCTGCATCAAGGATTTGCATCTCCCTCAGCAACAAAGGGCAGCCTGAGGACCTGCTACTATACACAATCCTTGGGGGGATTTCTAGAAATACAGATTCCTGGGTCCTGCCAGGAATCAGATCCTCTGGGACTGGATCCTCCTCCCCCTAGGTTAATTCTGATGAACCAGGTCAGGAACCACCATTGCAGCTGAGGAGCCTGCTCCCAGGGGTCTTAGGAGGGGGGCCCCTGGGGGGTGGGGGTAGTGCCCCCAGTTGGGGTAGTGCCACCTACCTGCAGGGGTAGACAGTCTGGCAGGGAGACAGGACATATATACAGGAAAAGGTGCCCCACAGTGTTGGTTGAGGGACAATCATGTGCTAACTTGTGTGACACTCATTGATAAGCTGTAGGAAATTGATCTCTTTCCTTAGAAAAGTGGTTTGACAGTGGGACAGGCCCACGGGTGGAAGAGGTTTCTAATCCCAATGACCACAGCAGCACCCCTTGTTCTAGCTGAGGGGGGTTCTCAAACTTCAGTGGGTAGGAGGGTTGCCAGAAGACTCTGGGCCCCACTCCCAGAGCCTCTGATTTGGCAGATGTGGGGCCTGGAGTCTAGGGTCTTGATCGCCCCAGGTGGTTCTGAGGCTGGTGGTGCAGAGTCCATGCTGAGAGACACGGTTCAAGAGACAGAGTCGTCCCTCTATCCCCACCTTTACCTCCCTTCCCGAGAGATCTCAGTGCAGGAATTGGGGGTTCGTCTGCTTGATGGCCATCCACTTCTCTTGGGATTCCCTGCCACCCCCACCCCAGCCTGGGTGACTACATCAGCCCCCTTCCCCAAGGCTCCAGCTTGCAGGCCACACACCCCTCCTGACCACGATGGTGAGGAGGACCGTTGGTCCTGGAGTCCCTGACTCTGTGCTTGCCATAAAATACAAGGCGTTAAATTTGAATTGCAGATAGATAATTTTTCACTGTGTGTCCCAAATATCACATTAAACATACTTACCTTAGAAATTTACTCAGTATTTATCTGCAATGCAAACTGAACTAAGCATCCCATATAATTACTAAATGTGGCAATCCTGTGTTCTCCCAGTGGTTCCTTTAGGCAATAGGCGCAAGTCCTCTGACTTCTTTTATCTCTGTCCCCACAGGAGATCGGGGGCTCCCGGGGACTCCAGGTATGTAACCTCTGATGGCATGCTGGTATTGCCGGCTGCTTGTCCCTGGCTCCCGGGTTCTGGGGGAAAACAGGGCTCAGGTGTTGTTGTGTGTCCACAGGCATCCCTGGGCTCTTGGGCCACCCAGGTCCAGAAGGACCAAAGGGACAAAAAGGCAGTGTGGGTAAGAGCCGCTTTTTCCATTCTCTTATTCCCTTACTCATTCATTCATTAAACATTTCATTAAGTGCCTGCTCTGTGCCAGACCCTGTTTTAGGAGCCGGGAGACATTGGTGAACAAAACACAAATCGCTGCTTATCTTTGGGTTGGGGAGAAAGACATGATAAATTAGTGAAATACAGAGCAGGGTAGGAGGTAGATCATGAAACGGGAAAGACAGAGCCACACACGGCACTGCACACTGAGGGAGTAAATCTGAATAAGGCCTCACTGAGAAGGTGCCATTTGAACAGACTTGAAGATGGTGAGGGAGCCAGGCATGGGGAGATCTGGGGGGAATGCTCTAGGCAGAGGGAGCAGCCGTGGGCCCTGGGGCAAGGGTGTGCTGTGGCCCAGGAGCAGTGAGAAAGAGGCAATGGGGGCCGGGCTAGAGCCCACCAAAGCCCGAGTGTCCAGACGGAGGAGCAGAGGGCCTCTTGATCATGTGAGATGCTGCCAATGGAGCCCTTAGCCATGGGCACTGGCTCCTAACTCTGAGGTTCCTTTCTTCAGGAGAGCCTGGCATGGAGGGTCCCATGGGCCAGAGAGGACGAGAAGGCCCCATGGGACCTCGTGGTGAAGCAGGGCCTCCTGGGTTTGGAGAGAAAGGGGACAGAGGTAAGAGGCTCTTCCTTTACCAGGAGGGTTAGCTATATCCATGCTTCCTTCTCACATCTTTCTCCCTCCTTCTTTCAATGGCTTTACTGAGCAGCTACCTCGAGCCAGGCTCTGTGCCAGGCCCTGTGAAGACCACACTCTAATGGGGGTGTGGGCTGGGCTGTGGGTTTGGGTCTGAATCTAAGAACCCTGCAGCGTTCGGAATCCACAAAGAAGGTTGTCAAAAGGAGAAAGGGCCGTCCCACGTAGGCAGTGCAGAGTCAGGTCTGAGGTAAGAGGCTCAGGGCAGAGCCTGACCAAAGGTGGAGAAGGGTGGTGGGCCCGCAAACCTTCATGGCTGGAAATAGGCAGGGAAGGAGAGATAGAAAGACTTAGACACAGGCCCAGCCCTGGAGGAGGCTGGGAAGATTTTACAACTAGATTCTTAACCAGGAGTCAGCTTTCATCAGATGAAACCAGGCACAGATTCTAGAAATTCTCACAATGCCAAAAGAGCACGAGCAAGAGCTTTATTTTTAGCTCCTCTTTGTCTTAAAAATATTGTTCAACCAGGCAACAAATATTTATTGAGTGGCTCCTGTGGGCCAGACCTCATGGGCTATAAAGGCTCTGGGGGTAGAAACTGAAGGTGTTTTGCAGCTTTGTGGCCTCAAGGAGGTATCTGATGGATCAGAGACCACCAGCAGTTGGGAAGTATTCCCCACAAATGACACTGCCAGGCTGGGTGGGCGAGCAAACTGAGCATCCTCTGCTTTCTCCCCAGGGGCTGCTGGTGAACCCGGTGTTCAGGGCCCACCTGGTGTCCCAGGTTCTGTGGGTCCCAAAGGTAAGTCAAGTGCCAGGATGGTATGGATCACAGAGGTCCAGGCAGTGGATCCTGACGGCCCTAACCTGCTGCAGGGACAATGGGCCCAGAGAGCCCCCCCACAAAGGAGTGCCTGGGGGGTCAGGGCTGGAACTGACCCCAGGGCTGGAATTTTTGGGACCATGTTTCTGTCTCTCTTCAGTGGCCTTGTTATGTGGCCCCTAAGTGGGTGGATGGGTCAGGAAGTCCCAAGTCAGATTAAGTTCCTCACCCAACAGCTGCCCAATTGCACTCCTTCAAAAGCATTGTCTGGACAGCTCAGGGAGAATGGGGCCTTCTCAGTTTGATGCCCATCTCCCCTCCCTGCTGCTGCCCTGGGCCCACATGTTCTACTCTGACCGGGAAGGAGCAGGGGTCTCTCGATCCCACCAGCTGTAGTGTCCTCCCTCAGGAGAACTTTGCACTGGGGTCCCTCTCAGACCCACTGACTTGGGGTCTGGGCACCAACCCACACTGTGTGGGCAATGCTCACACACACACAGCCTTCACTTGGAAGTGAGCCCCCACCTGCCCCTCACTGTGGGGTCACGTGTCCCTGGCCTGTGGCTCGCCCCTGATGATTGTGGTCTCGTCTTTCTTCTCAGGTTCCAGTGGTTCTCCTGGCCCACGGGGTCCCCCAGGTCAGTGTGCTGCTTATAAAAATAGATGCTGTTTCTGGGGAAAAGAAAGGGATGCTAAAAAGAAACACATTTTTAAAGCAAAAGAAGCAATTATATGGAGCCTTCCAGAGGTCCAAAACTCCCGTCCATACACGTGTCCCCTGAAGCTGAGGTCAGGTTCCCAGTGGTTTCAGGGAGCTCCGTGCTGACCTGGCTCAGGGCTCATGGCCCTCCGGCAGCCTCAGCAGCAGGCACTTACTGTCCTGCTTGCACCTGAGCAAAGTCCCTGTGGCCACCTCCTCCCTGTGGGCCAGAGCCCTTCTGCTGTCTTGGGAATCTTGAGCTGTAGCCCACACTGTAATGCGGACCAGTGTTTCTGCCACGGCCCCATGAGGTGTCCTTACATCAGGGCCTGTGACACTAGGGCAAGGAACTGGGCCGGGATGATGTAGCAGGGTTGTGGGGAGGAGTCTGTGGAGAGCAGCCCTTGACTTTATCCCAGGCTGTGCGTGCACCTGTGTGTGTGTGTGCGTGTGCATGTCTCTGCCTGTGTCCATGTCCATCGGTCCATCAGGCCACTCACCTTGCTGCATGGTTGCCTTTGCTTGCAGGCTCTGTGGGTCCCCAAGGGCTCCGAGGTGAAGTTGGACTCCCTGGTGTCAAAGGTGAGCTTGGGGAAGGGGATGCCACCCTGTAGATGCCACTCACTCAAGAAGGAGGTCTGGGCGGTGGGACAGGAAGGGGCCAGTGGATGTGATCAGCAGCTGTATGGGCTGGTACGTAAGCAGAGGGCAGGTCAGGATGGCAGAGAGCCTGTCTGCACACAGACACCGCCCTTTTTTGGTCATCCCCTCTGGGGCTCCTTACACAGAGTTGTCCCTTCCCTTTTCAGGTGACAAAGGTCCCATGGGATCACCGGGACCCAAAGGTATGTTGCCACTGCTCAGACATCCCCATAGTCCACCTGACTCCTGGGAGCCCCGATGGGAACCTGTCTCAGGGTCCAGGATTGGACCTGAGAGCTCATTCTAGCCCAGCCTCTCAGATAGGGAAACTAAGGCAGGAAGAGGGGAAACCGAGCACCTATGTCACAAGCACTGTGGTCGGGTGGCCCGCAGGGTGGTCAGGATGCAGTGTTGAGGCACGTCCTCTTTCGTCTGGCTCTCCTTGCACTCATGGCACTCACTGTGCAACAGCAGGGGCTGGGGTAGTTTGTGGGGGGCGTCCTGACCCCGGGGGAGAGCGAGCTCCTTGGCCTCAGCAGTGCCTGGGTCTTACTGACATTCTGCTGGCAGCAACTCAAGGGCACAGTGAGAACTGTTTGTAGCCAGGGTCCCTCTCACTGAGTGAGGCTGTTTTCCTTGCTCCGACTGCTGCTTCCTGCCACCCCACCCTGCCCCATGTCTGTTTCAGGTGACCAGGGGGAGAAAGGACCCCGAGGCCTCACAGGTCAGTCTTGCACAGGAATCTGATTTCATCCACTAAAGACTTCTTGTAAACCCAGCGGGCACTGGAGGTGGAAAGAAATACACAAATATGAGGCAGAAGCTCTGTCTAAAAACCTTCGGGAAACTTGTAATCTAGGGAAAAAGCACAAGACAGGATAAAATAAAAAACAATGAATGGAGTAGAAACCAGTATCAAAATGTACGTATAGTCCAGACGGTAAATGTTTGGAACAGGAAAGGGAGTTTATGATAGTCTTGGATTATTTCGGGGGGATCCAGTTGGGGAAATTAGGCTCTTCCCAGAGCAGCAGAAAGTTGACACTACTTGCAAGCCTCTCATCTGCTTAACCTTCTGCCAGCTCAAATGACTAAAAAAGAAATCCGTAGAAATGGTGCTTTGGCTACAGGGGCAGCTCTGTGCTGCCAGGGAAATGATTCATCTGCACATCCCTTCAGACCGGACGTGGCTCCGGACCTGCCTCTGTCTGCTGCCCGGGGACCCTGACCATAGAATCTAAGCAGGGGCTGTGTCCGCAGCCTCTGTTTGTTACTCCAGCTCCTCTGGTTGGGGAGGTGGCAGTCTTGGGGGTGGGGAACACGTGTATCGCAGAAGTCCCAGTCAGCAAGCCTGTTTCCTTTGCAGGCGAGCCCGGCTTGAGAGGTTTGCCTGGCGCCGTGGGTGAGCCTGGAGCTAAAGGGGCAATGGGTGAGTGTCCCAAAGGAACGGATGCAGTGGGTTTGCCCCTTCCAGTCGAGGTCAGAGAGCCGAGAGCCTGCTTCTAGAGCTGCGTGTCCTGTTCTCCAGTCTGTCTGAGGGCCCATGTGCAGGCTGTTTCTGTCTCTGGGTTTGTCACTGCTGGGGGTTGGTGGCCCATCCAGCCTGGTCCCTGACTCGAGGCCACTTGGGCCCCGGGGGAGGACAGATAAGCATTGAGGTCCCTTAGAACCCACGCTGTTCCCGGCATAACCCTGGTACTCCAGAGCTGGTGTCACAGCCAGATCCAGGGTTTAACCATTTTGCTGACCCTTAGCAAGGTGCTTGTCAGGCAGGACTTGGAAGCTGACCAACAACCCTCAGAGGGCAGAGCGTTTAGCACCAAGTCCCAAAAGGGTTTAAGCACCACCAGTGGGGATGTGGTATGTTCAGTTTCCCGTTCGTGTAACACAGCGAGGAGGCTCTGACTGTAGGCAGGATGCCATGTGGGGCAAGTAAAATGCTTTACCTCTCGCAAGGGGAGATAAAGCTTGTAGAAGGGACAGGTGCCCTGAAAGGCACAGAGCGCTATGAGGGTATGGCAGAGAGAGATTCCTTCCTACTAGAAATGAAGGAGGAGGCATTTCACGTGGCCTTACAAAGCAAGGAAGATTTCATCATGGTCATTTTGGAAAAGTCTCTGCAGAGACAACACAAGTGAGGAGAGACAAAGGGGTGGGAGAAAGCAAGATACGGTCCCAGAAGGATGCCACTTTGGACAAAGGTTAGCGTAACACCCAGAGCAGAGGAGAGGACTTGGAGGACCTTGACTTCCAGGACCTTGAGTAAACGAGGCAGAGGCAGGCATTTATTGAGCATCTGGTGCATGCTGAGTCTGCAGTAGGCCCTGGGGATGCAATGGGGAGTTGCTGACCCATTAGTTCTCTGCAGGAAAATACACAATTCCTGGTTTAGGGGAAGAGGCCTGGGAGAAAGTGGCATCCGTGGTCGGCAGCTGTGGGAAGGGCTGCACGGGCTCCCGCCTGGGAGACAACTGGCTAAAGCCCGTGGGGCCATCGAGGGAGGGAGGCCCAAAAGTAGCTCTTGGGGTAACTGGTGATATGTGGTTCTGCTTTCCTAGGACCCGCTGGCCCTGATGGACACCAAGGCCCAAGAGGTGGGTTGCAGATCTGCTCTCCTCGTGCTCACTGCCTGGCCCTGCCCTGCCCACATCCCAGCATGCAGTCCCCAGTCCCCTTAATCATAAGGCAGCAGGACCCCCATGAGACCCAGGTCTTACTCCCCTTCTCCTTTCCACCTGCCAGCAAATTAGTAAAACCCCAGAAACCATAGGCTCAGATGTGCCGGCCGGCCTAGCTTTCCTAAAAGGAAAACCCTTCTTTATCTCATGCTCTCTCTAGGTGAACAGGGTCTGACAGGGATGCCTGGAACCCGTGGCCCACCAGGGCCTTCTGGAGACCCAGGAAAGCCAGGTAACCGAGTGGCAAAAGGGAGCTACGGCCTGTGTGTGTGTGTGTGTGTGTGTGTGTGTGTGTGTACACATGAATGTGTGTGCCTTAGCCCATTTTCCTCCAGCATTTCAGCAGGGAGCGGCCACACCAGCTGGCTGGTGCTGTGTTCAGTGACTGGGTTCTGACACCACTGGGTCACCAACTCTGGCAACTTGGAAGAGAGAGGTTCACGGTTCATTAGCAGAGATTAACTGAAAGCTGGGAGTTCTAGAAAGGAGCAAGGAATCTCTTAAAAATTGCAGTTTAAGGCCATTTCCATGCCTTGCTCCTCTGAGCCTGTCCCCTCCACCCACTTCCTCTCTGGCCATACCTGGACACTCATCAACACCAGTCTGAGTAGAGAGCCCACTGTTAGGGTTTCCACCTGAAGGCCCAGCAGGAGCCAGAGCCGCAGGGCTACGGGAGGGTCAGACCAAAGCAAGCCAGAGAGCTGTGAGGCAAGGCAGCATTCGACAAGGGGGCTGCTGGAACAGGGGTGCCTCCTGGCTCCTTTGGTGGGTGCACAGATGGGGAACACCAAGGGAGGGGATTTGGGGGGCAGCATTGGGGATCCATGACTGTATGAGCTTTCTGGGTTCATCGCTCTCAGACGCCAAAGAGTCTAGGACTCCAAGCAGGCTAAGAACCATTGCCTGATGGAGCAGTGGTCACTTCCTTGCAAAGCCCAAAGAACAGCTCTTTGTCCAGTGTGGGGAGCATCCTGAGTTTGTCCTCCCACAGCCGAGGGTGTGGCTCCTCAGCCCTTCATATCTCTCTCTCTCAGTCTCTCTCCTGTGTTCTCTTTTCCACAGGTCTCACAGGACCTCAGGGACCTCAGGGTGAGTCATCAGGCCCTTCCCACCTCCAGATGCCACCTGCCCAGCCTCCTGCTTCCAGCTTTCCGCAAATGCCTTTCCAGTCACCTTAAGAGTTTCCTCTCCTCCCTGCGCTCCCCTGGAAAAAACTAGTTCAGGTTCTTTCACTGTGAGTCACAAGAAACATATTAGGAAGGAAAAATACACAGAGAACAATCTAGAAAGCCATTCTGGAGAAACCAGGCCAAATCATTTGCCGATTCTGTCTGCCCAGTCACTGGTGCAGGACCCCGGGAGAGGAGGCTTCAGGCACAGGAGCCCTGCTGGGCTCCCAGAGGCCTGGTCTCCGCAATGGTGAGGCAGGAGAGGGGAGCGCACCTCATGTGAGGCCCAGTATCTCTGGGACAGCTTCATTGTCAGAGTCTGTCCTATGATTGCACTGGTGTTGACATTTGGGTTTGAGAGATTGTCACCATGCCCAGCCCCAACTCCTAAAAGAAATTAGGCAAAGATGTAAAATGACACCAAGCAGCAGATCTCCCCACAAAAGCTGAGTGCACAGGGACCTCCTTCACGCACTCCTGGTAGAGCTTGGCCCACCACCAGCCGCAGAGGGAGGGGACCATGGCTGAGTGGCAGGCTATAAGAGGCTCATAATCCAGACTCCCTGGGATCCCCCAAACCTGAGCCCATGTCCTCAAGCCCAGAGGTCACTCCATTTCGCAGAGAGGGGGAAGGGCTCAGAGCAAGGGGCTCCTCCGAGGGGCCCCCAGGCTAAAGCAGAAGGCAGAGCCATGTTTCAGCAGCGCTTAAGGCTGTGCCCAGTGACAGAGCGCAGTTACTACCAGAGGGGTCTGGAATCTCCTGGGCTTAATCACCTAGACTGACTTGTTTTTAATCACATCAGGACTTCCTGGAACCCCCGGCCGACCAGGAGCTAAAGGTAAGTGATTTTCCAAAGCAGATTTTCTTTTCACTAGCCATTTTTTTGCAGGAGGGGAGAGGCTGGCAGGAGGGAGCCCCTCTCTGGCCAGAGCCTGGATCAACAGTGGCATCTAGTGGCTTTAGCAGAAAGCCAGGAAGCTAGGAATTTGTTTGGATCACTAGTCCTGAATCCTCACACCCTCCCCCCAACCCCCCCACACCTCCTGACCCCAGAGTCCTGAGCCCTCTCTGGTACCAGATGTCTCCAGGCCATTGTTGGAGGAGGATCTGGAAGCATGCAGCCCCTCAAAGCCTTTCCATCTCCTCTAAAATGTCCCCATCTGTTCTCTGTCTCCCTGGCTCAGGATTGGTCCCCCACCCCCACACCTAGCATGACCCTTCCCTGGAATAGGGACCACCATCATCCTTTCCATTCACTGGGGCCTCAGTGTGGCTGGGGCCCCACGTTCTTTTCTCAGGAGGCTTTGATGCAGGCAGGGAGGAGTGCCTCAGATGGCCCTTAGAGGGCAAAGCCTGAGTCCTAAGAGGGAAAGTCTTCTTCAGGGGAGGGGTCTGCCCAGAGCCAGCACGCTAACCCTACATGCAGGGAGATGCTCCCCTCCTGTTCTCCTCTGCCACTGTCCAGTTCTGTAACCATTAGATACCAACCCTGAGTCAGTCCAGGGATAAACAGTCTTTCTCCACCCGTCCCTGTGACTCCACATTCCCAAGTCCTGACATCCTGTGGAGCTGTGCTATCTTGAGCAGTCACTATCATCTTGGGGAGACCCTAGGAATAAAATTACTACTGTCTAGAAACTATTGCCAGTGACTAACTGGGCCAGGGAGTTCTTCTGGGATAAATAAATGTAATTCCAAAATAATCACAACTGAGTTCCTACCTCCCTGGCAGACATACGTCTGGGTCCATAGATCTGCTCATGGATTCACTGCACCTTTAGTAAGAGACCACTAGGTTTGGGGAAACCAGACACCCTGTCTTTCCCGAGGGCCTGTGACTTCTTGTCCAAGAGAGATTGTAGACCCTCCCTGGGCAGTGTGCACAAGAGATGGACATTTCACCCAACACTGGATTGTGGTGGAAGACAGGCCAAACACCAGTGCTTTCTCCTCTTGGCCTTGACCCCAGGGACTGGCCCATAGCAAGCAGAGACCACCCTCTACTTCCTCCAAGGAGGTTCGTACTCTCCCTCAGTGTGTGAGTGATGGAATTGCCCACAGACTATGGGAAATTATGGAAGAGGCCCCTGAGGAATCCCCGGGGGAGGGCTTTTCTGTCCTCCACTCTGCTCACTCAGTTCCCCAGAGTCTGTGCATTTACAGTCCCAAGAGATGCTTCATGGAGGCAGCATCCAGTGGTCTGTAAAGTTTGGGGAAGTGTGAGCCTGAAAACCCCTCGTTGGAAGTCCTCCACCCACATTTGCATTTTCGACCCTCTCAGACTCGGGCAGAAGAGAAACCTGCCAAACTTTGTGTAACTCACACCCTCCCTCGACTCTGCACAACCCCCATTACAGACCTGGAACTGGCATCCTGAGGGGCACTCTGGAGACCAGGCTCTACCCCTCAGACTTACTGCCTCTGTCCTTTGACCTCTTGGGAGTTTTCCATCTAAGGCAAATCCCAGCAAGAGCCCGAGAGGCCCAGTGTGGGAGCGTGGCTGACTGTAGGTCAGCCTCCTTCTGGCCTTGCGGAGAGGCAGATTCCCACATCCTCCAAGGCCGCTCCTCTGCAGAGTGCTGGCTTTTCCTAAAGCTAATGTGGACCAGGAAGCCTGATGTGGCCTCAGGGTCTCTGGCAGAGAGACTGGTGCTTAATGCATCCTGTGTGCTCCCCTTCAGCTCATTAAAATGCCTTTAGCCCACAGGTTGGAGCCACAGGAGTGGCTCTCAAACTCCATCAGTAGCCTTGGAAGTGATTTATGGAGCCACCAGCTGAACCTGGGAATGACTGTTTTCCTTTTCCTCCCCTCCCAGGTGAACCTGGATCTCCAGGCAGAATTGTGACCTCAGGTAGGCAGGCCCAGGAGGGGTCTTCTTCCTGTGACTTTCTCCCATGTCCTGGACATCCTCCCTGGCTCTGCCTTAGCGCCCTCCAAGCAGCACTCGTCTGGGCTTTGGAGGGCAGGCAGGGAAGGGCTCTCTGGTCAGAGGTAATGACAGCAGAAGGCGCTAGCCTGACCCGCCCACAGTATGGCCTGGGTCCCAGCACCTCTAAGCAAGAAGAGTGAGGGTCCCTGTTCCATGTGTCTTCTGTTTCCAGAGGGGTCATCGACGATCACTGTCCCAGGGCCCCCGGGCCCTCCTGGAGCCATGGGACCACCAGGACCTCCGGGTGCCCCAGGTCAGTTGCTTTCTTGCTTTGCCGTTTGGTTGCATTTAAGTACAGCAGTGTTTGCTCAAATCCTGAACCCCAGGGAGGAACCCCAGGAAGAGTAAGGAGCCCCCTCCACCCAGCCTAGCACGCCCTCATCCCACCCCAGCGAGCAACCAAGCACCCTGCAGGCACCCTTCACCAAGCCCTACAGCACCCTTGGAGGTTCAGCGGGTAAATGACTCACCTAAGGCCACTGGGCGAAGAAGTAGCAGAATCAGGATTGGGCCCAGGTGGTTCTGCCTCTGCAGCCTGGGTGCGACTTCAGTTGATTTCCCTTTGGAAAACAATTGAGTAACATGAATCAAGGGCAACAAAATTACTAGGAATCTGTTTGGAGAAACTATCTCCACATTGTCCAACCACGGTGACATCCCTACAAATCACAAAGACTTAGAGCCTAGAAGATCATCCTGGTTTTTAAAAGTACAGGATACTCAGTAGTGTGGCTCTGAGGTTCAACTGTACTTTTACAAGATGAAAATAAAACATGCTGGGGGCGCCTTGGTGGCTCAGTCCATTAAGTGTCTGACTTTGGTTCAGGTCATGATCTCATGGTTTGTGGGCTCGAGCCCCGCGTTGGGCTCTGTGCTGACAGCTCAGAGCCTGGAGCCTGCTTTGGATTCTGTGTCTCCTCTTTCTCAGCCCCTCCCTTGCTCTCACTCTCTCTCTCAAGAATAAACATTAAAAAAAAAAGAAAGAAAACATGCTGTAAGGAAATGAGATGTTTACAGGTTAAAGGATTATAGGTGATACTTTTTTATATTTTTCCAAAATACCTGTAATTTTGTTATATCTATTTTTAAAAATTTTTTAATTTAATCTCGACACCCAACGTAAGGCTTGAACTCACGACCCTGAGACATTGAGAGTCTCATGCTCTTCTCTGACTGAGCCAGCCACATGCCCTTATCTGTGTTTTTTTTTTTTTTAATTTAAAACATGTGTAAACGCAGTAGGTGATTTAGCACAACCAACACAAGTACGGATCGGCCTTCCCTTCTGCTAAGCTCCAGTAAGAGGGAGAATACGGGGGCGCTGAGAAGTTTCTTAAACACTGGGAACAGAGAGGGCAGCTCTGTCTGTCCCAGAGCCCGGGTTTTGGCAGAGGAATTCTCATGATTCTCATGGAATGGACCACAGGTCTGGTCTCAAATTGCTTATTGCTCTCAAGTAAGCAAGCTAGGTGTGTTTGGACATGCCCTTTTTTCAGTTCCTTCTAGAACTGTGACCCTAGAGATGTGGTAAAGCCTTTTCTTCCCAACTCCATCTCTAGGTCCCGTGGGCCCAGCTGGTCTCCCTGGACAGCAAGGTACGTCAGTCCTGAAGCACAGGACTCTGGGCTCAGCGGGGGAAGGCTTCCTTTCCCGGCTGGACTTGGGACCCCGCCTTAAAGTGGGAGACCTGCATTTTGGAAGAGAGGTCACGGGGTGACCCGGTGCTTCATCAAGGGCCTTGCAGGGCCCTTCTTCTTGGGTTTCTGAGAAGATAGGGGGTCCTCTAGACAGGGGTTTGGGGCTCTGTGGCATGCTGGTCAGGGTCAAGCTTGGCTATTTCATAGGCATCGAGGCTCTTGTGCCCAGATCCTGATAATTGTGCTACTTTCCAGTGATTTATCCAAACACCAGAAAACAGCCTTAGGAAAAAATGGTCCAGTTTCCCCTGGGCTGTTGGGCCTGCAAACAGGAATGTTCACTCCTGATGCTCCAGACCCCGCCCACTCCTGGCGCTCCGCCCCCCCCGCCCCACCCACCAGGACCCTCCCAGGCCCTATAGAAGAAAGCATGGGGGAGGAAGAGGGGTTGCTGCAGGTGGAGCCCCCCTGAACTCGTGTCTTTTACACAGGCCCCCGCGGGGAGCGAGGACTTGCTGGTGAATCATTCATGGGCAGCAGCAGCTCCATCTCTGAGGTCCTCTCTGCCCGTGAGTGCCCCCATGTTCTCTGGAGCGAGGTGACACTGGGGCGGGAGCGGGACAGATGGCAGCACATTTGGGGCCTGTAGCAGCTGGACCAGTGAGTCATCCTGAGCCCTCATGTGAGCAAGGGTGACTGGTTCCTCTGAAAGGCCATGCCAGCCTCCAAGGAACAGCAGGCCTTTTGTCGGCCCTGGGGCAGGGGGTGAGTCACAGGGATGGGGCAGCTGTCGGAGAGGTTCTTGGGATTCTCAGAGGACCGGGGTCAAGTGGGGCCTCTGAAGGGAGCTGGGCACTGGGAGAATGATTGGCAAGAGAACTGCCTCCCCCACGGGGATCAATGACAAGGGTCCACGGGTTCTCAGCAACAGCCCCGGCCTGGGAGGGTGACTTCTGGGTTCTTCTGTTTCCAGAATCCTTTAAGGAGCCCAAGCAGACATGCCGCTGGGTCTCCCACTTAGACACCTGATGGCAAAGGCAGCAGCCAGCCGTGGCCCAGCAGCTGCCGTGTGCTAGACATTCTGTCCTGGGACCTCCCTGGGACTTCACAGTGCTCCTGGGACATAGGTCTTAGACTTCCGGTTTAGAGAAGAGTAAGCTGAGGCCGAAAGAAGTCAAGAGCTTGCCCGGTCACCAGCCAGAAGTAGCAGAGCAGGATTGTGAACTCGGGCTGACACAAAGCCACGTACTTGGCCATCAGGGCATTTGATGGCAGCTCTGCCCTGCCCCGCCTGTGAGCGAGGAGCACCCCTAGCAGATGGGGTCCCGGAGGGCCCTGTGCCGTGACGCAGAGCTGGCCTCTGGGGTGTGGGTGTAGCCCGGGTGCCTGGCGCTGATGAGCCTAATGAGGGCTGGTGGGGAACAGCTTCATGAGAGCTTTTGCTTATTTCTGGTTTTTTTCTCTCCACAGAAGGTCTTGATTTACGGGGTCCCCCTGGCCCACCTGGCCCACCTGGGCCTCCAGGTGAGCATCTCAGGGATCACTGGAAGGTGGGGAATCGTGGGGGAAAGGGCACTTAGTGAGGAAGCCGGGGTCCTCATCACAGGGGCAGGATCAGCTCCCTGAGTTCAGCATTGCCTCTTGCTCACTCTTTTCTGCAGGACCTTCCATTCCAGGCCCACCAGGACCCCGAGGCCCAGCAGGTGAGAGCTGAGCTCCCTGGTGAGAGATACGAGACCATGGTGCCCACGGCCTCTTCTGGGCTGGCTCTCAGGAAAGGGCTGCCTGGCCACTTCTCCTGGGCAGAGGGTTCATGGCCCATAGCTTGGCTTTACTAAGTCTTGGTGGTTCTCCTATTAGGGGAAGGCCTGCCAGGCCCACCAGGCCCACCAGGATCTTTCCTGACCAACTCAGGTAATGCTAGAGTCCAGTCCCCTTGCTCTCCACCCCAGCCCTAGCTCCGGGACACGCTGTGGTCACAGGCTTGCGGTCTTCCTGACAGACTCACCATGTTCCTCCTTCAGCCCTGCCTCCAGGGTGTGTTTGCATAGACTCCGTAGAACGGGAAAACTTGTCCCTTGGGGAAGATCCACCCACCCACCCATCTATTTATCCATCTACCATTTGTTATTTCCTTTATCCTTCATCCAACCTTCCCACTATCCACCCATCCATCGACCCACCCATCTGCCACATACCAATTGAGCACCCGCAGGATGCCAGGCTCCAGGCTAGCAGCTGCTCCCTTACAAATACCACTGTGCTCACACTCAGAAGTCCTTCTTTCCTCTGCAGAGACCTTCTTCTCTGGCCCCCCGGGCCCCCCTGGGCCCCCGGGCCCCAAGGGAGACCAAGGTGAGTAGCGTCTTGGGGCACAGAAGCCCGTGTGGCCCTGCTTGCTCGGGGTGGCCAGGAGAGTCTGGACGAGGCTGGGTCACCCGGGGCATCTGTGCATCCTCCTGCCGTACCCCGGGAGGAACCTGGCGGTCTGGAGCATGGTGGGAGGCACAGTGGCTAGAAGCTCCAGAAAGACTCCCCACCGCTGTGCTGGCCTGCTGGCACGCCAGGCCGTGGCTCGACCCCACACTCCGGCAGGAGCCCCATCTCTTCCCCTACGGGCCCCTTGCAGCCACAGCACCTGGTAGGTATGCATCTCACAACTGTGTCTGCCTCCTTCCATCAGGCCCCCCAGGCCCTCGAGGACACCAAGGTCAGTAGAGCTGACATCAAACAAAATGTGGGGTGGGGTGAGGTGGCCAAGGCTGACCTTCCAAGCCTTGAGCTTCCCATGAAGGAGTCTGATACAAATGAGTGAGGGTAGATCTGAGTGGGTGTCTCTGGAAAGGGTTGGGAATGTGTGCGTGTGTAAGGGCTGGGGAGGCTCGGGAGGGAGGTGGCGTTGGGCTGGGCCTAGGGAGGAGCGCGCCACTGACGGTCCCCCCTCGGGTGTGTCCCTCAGGCGAGCAAGGCCTCCCAGGGTTCTCAGCCTCAGGTAAGTGCTGAGCCCCTACCCCCGCCGCTGGCTCTGTCCAGAGCCCCTCAGCTCTGGGTGACTGTACTGTGTTGTTGGTTCCCAGGCTCCAGCTCTCTTGGACTCAACCTGCAGGGACCGCCTGGCCCTCGGGGACCCAAGGGTGACAAAGGTCAGTGAGGGGAGCAGCCAAGAAGGCAGGGGGCGTGAGAGCAAGGATGGTCCGCAGAGTGTGAATAGAAGGCAGGGTGTACTCACTGGTGTTAAAGGCTTGGGAGGAAGGAGCGGCTGGAGGGAGAGAGGGATGAGGACGTGAGTCCAGTCTCTGCCTGAAGGGGGCTTGTGGTAGCATTGCAGAAATAAGACTGAGAGACCTGGGACAGTTGTTGAGTCACATGCTGATAAACTTGGTTGGGCCCAACCAGGGAAGGCTTCCTAGAGGAGGTGATACAAACAGGTCTTCTTGTGTTGGATTCTAGGCGATCCTGGTATCCCAGGGGCTCCTGGCATTCCTGGTGGTCTCTCTCAAGGTAAGAACCAAAGGTCTTCTCCCCTTCCTCAAGCAAGGACACTGATTCATTCACCTGTCCGCCTCCCACACCCATGATTCGGTGCTGATCAGGTCGCGTCTCCATGTGCTAGGGCCTCTGCACTGCCTTTAAGGAGGTTACAGGTTGGTGGAGATGGGAGGGAAGGACAGTACAGTGAAGGTGGCTGGCGATGCCGAATGATGGAGAACAGGACAGACCTGGGAGCTAGGGGCGTTTGGAGTTGAGGGGGCCTCTGGGGCTGAGTTGCTGAAGTGGGGTGCTGAAGGGAGGGTCCGGTCCAGCGAAATCCCAACTCTGTGCCCTTTCCAGACAGTGGCTGCTTATAGGCACTCCCCTCCTCCTTTCCTTCTCTTTGCCACCATCTATTTCTCCCTCCTCGTGCTGTGGAAGCTGTGTCTGGGCCCTTCTTTGATCCTAAGGTGGGCTTTTCCTGGCAGACTCGGAAGGCTTTCCCTCCTGCAGGGGGATCGTCGTCCAGCACCATGTTCGTGCCGGGTCCGCCAGGCCCGCCGGGCCCGCCGGGGCCTCCAGGCTCTATCAGCAGCTCGGGCCGGGAGGTCCAGCAGTACATCGCTGAGTACATGCAGAGTGAGTCCCGGGATCTGAGTGAGTTTGTGTGGGTGCGTGTGCCGACGTGTCTGCTCGGCCGGGCGTCTCCGGTGCTCTGTGGAGCCTGGCTATTTCGGGAAGCCTCCGGTCTCCTCCCCCCCAGGTGAATAGACCTGACAGATCCCATTGCCCGTACCAGTGCAGCGAGGCGGGGGAGGCTCTGGGAGTGGGTGGGAGCCAGGAGGCTACCAAAGAGGTGTGCTTGTGTGTGCACACGCGTGTGTGCTTGCCTGTGTGCGTGCGCGTGTGTGTGCACGCACGGCGGGATACAGCAGCCTGTGGGCCAGGCCTAGGTCAGAAACCCACCCCGGGAGCCAGGACCACATGACCATGGACTCCCTCAACACCCACCTTCTCATGGCAGCCCACACAGGTGCGTCCTCACCCACACACTCATCCGTGGGAACACAGCCACACACACACTTTCACACAAGTGTGCACCCCCCATCCCATACTCCCGCTGCACGTCTGGGTGTGATTTCTAAGAATGTGCGTACAGACTTTGTCAAATGGCGGCCGACTGGAGCCTCGTCGGTCCTCAGTCTTCAAGTAGCATCTAATCCAGCACAGGCCTTGGCCTCAACTTTTCTCTGTAACCAAGAGTCTAGGCTCCCTGCTGGCCCCACCTTGGGCCATGGATGGGATGAGGTGCTTCCTGCCGTCTTTGGGGGGAGGTCACACCCTCTTGGGGACAGGCACGACTTTGCTTTCTTTGTCGGCAGGCGACAGCATTAGGTCTTACCTGTCTGGAGTTCAGGGTCCCCCAGGCCCACCTGGTCCCCCAGGGCCTGTCACCACCATTGCCGGAGAGACTTTCGACTACTCGGAGCTGGCAAGCCGTGTCGGGAGCTACTTACAGAGTAAGCCTGTCCCCACCCCCACAATGACCCCCTCCTCCCGTGGTCACTTTGCTCCAGAGCCTCCTCGCTTACTTTGCTGTTTGCTTCGCCCTTCGGGATGTGAAGTTCAGTTCGGAACTCGGGGCTCTCGGCCACTGGGATCCGGCTTCGAGAACAGAGGCCACATGCACAGCCACGTGTAGCAAGCCTTCTTGCGGTTGACAGAGGTGTCCTGAGTATGTGAAGAGGGATCGAGACTGGCAGGATCTGGGAGGAGTGAGGCTAAAGCCTACTCTGGAAAACAAACCGCATTTCTTACCAAACACAAACACAGCCCCACTGTTGACTTTTGCGTGCATTCACAACAGCCTCCTCATGCCGCCGTTCGTTCATTTTCCCCAAACGGAACAGCTAGCTGGCCGGGTCTTCGGGGTTCTGGAGCAACGAGGGTGTTGCTTCGGTTTTGCTAGGAAGCAGGTAACCTGAGGTTTCCTTCCTGACAGCCTCGGGGGCCGGCATCAGCTCCTCGGCCTCCATCTCCTCTGCGGACATCCTGGCGGCCCTGCAGCGTGAGTGGCCGCCCCGGGCAGGAGGGTGGGAGCTCTGCGGCCCAGCTCGCTCCCACCTGAGCGCTGAGAGAGCTGCGGGCGGGGTGCTGCTCCTCCTCGCTCCCAGCCTCTGAGCCTCTGTGGGTCAGCACTGACTGGGGAGGGGGCCGCAAGTCTCAGGGTCCCCAGTGCCGGGTAACTGCGCGGGTGCCTTGTTGGGGACCTGCAGGCTTGCCGCTTCCCGGGGGACTGAGAACCCACAGCTCAGGGCCAGCCTGTGGGTGTGCAGGAGCCCGGGGAGGGGCCCACGCCAGCACAGCCTGTCCTTCCAGGGGAGGACGTGAGACAGTCCCTGCGGCAGTACCTGACGGATTGGTCCCTGCAGTCTCTGGACTACACCGAACTGAGCACTCGTATCCTCAGCTACATGTCCAGTGAGTGCCCACCCTTCCAGCTTGTCCCCTGTGGCAGGCGGTCAGTGGGGTGGTCCAGGGAGGAGGTGGGCGCTGAGCTGTGTCCAGAGTCCAGAGACCAAGTCCAGAGGGCCTGGTCTGTGGGAAAGAGCAGGCCCCGAGCCTGGCCCGGGAAGCCAGGAGTATCTGGGATCCCGTCCCACAGGCAGTTTGCACACACCCCACTTGTGCCCATGCAAACCTCCGACACACCCCTGCACGCTGACCTGCACTCGTCCCAGGACCTACGGCCCTAGCTCCTCAGTGTCGATGGCAACTGTAGTCTGAGTTCCTCTTTCGGCCTGTTTCTTCCTGCTGCCCCTCTTCCCCTGCTGGGATCCCACTTCTGTCCAAATCACTCCTGTGTCTGGCTTCCTCTCTGACAAGGCATTTCCCCCTGCTTTGCCCTGTCTGATGAGAATCCATCACAACTTGGGCTTTTGTTCCTCAGGCTCTGGAATCAGCATTGGGCTTCCTGGCCCCCCGGGGCCTCCCGGCTTGCCAGGAACATCCTATGAGGAACTCCTCTCCTTGCTCCAAGGTAAGGCTGGACAGGGGCCACTGGTCCACGTGGCCTGGGGTGGAAGGCAGAGGCCTTGGCCCAGGCCCCTCCACTGACTCCGTGCTCCTTTGCTGTCTCAGGGTCTGAATACAGAGGCATCGTTGGGCCCCCAGGTCCCCCTGGGCCCCCAGGGATCCCAGGCAATGCGTGGTCCAGCATCAGCGTGGAGGACCTCTCCTCTTACCTGCACAGTAAGGCTCAGGGAGGAGAGCAGGGGACCAGAGCCTGGCCTCCGGGGCCCCCATGGTTTAGCAAGGGCAGCCATGGAGAGTTAAACGCAGTCCTCCCGAGGCACACACCGGGCTGAGCCTGGAGAGGAACACGCTTGCTTTTGAGGTGCTTTCAGCCGTGACAGGGGGACTGGTGGGAGAGACGGTGATCCCAAGTGCAGCCCTTAGAGAAGTTCACAAGCAGTGCATGATCATGTGGCAAGAGGGCACAGGGGAAGGGACAGGATTTGGGCCGAGTGAGGGCAGGCAGAGCGGTGGCTCTGGAGTGATGGCAGGAGCTGGGCTCCCAGTATCCCCTCCTCCCCTACCCCCCTCCTTCCCAGGAACCGCACCCCTGAGCGCAGGCTGGGAATTCAGTGCGCCAGCAGGGCAATCCCTGACCTGTCTCTGGCTTCCCCTCCAGCTGCCGGCCTGTCATCTATCCCTGGCCCTCCAGGCCCTCCTGGTCCCCCAGGCCCTCGAGGGCCCCCAGGTGTCTCCGGAGCCCTGGCAACTTATGCCGCCGAAAACAGCGACAGCTTCCGGAGCGAACTGATCAGCTACCTCACCAGTAGGTGCCCCTTTTCCAGAACTTGCTCCTCCCTGTGAGAGGGCAGCTGGTGCTTGGAAGGCACCGGGAGGCCAAATGTGTGAGCTCCAGCGAGGAGAGCCCAGCTTCTTCCCAGCCGGCACGCCTGCTCCCGTGCAAGTGCCTTGGCATTTGCGTTCTGCTTTGGGGCCGTGAGACCCTGGGAGAGGCCTGAAGCCTCCCTTTCTCTCACCCCCAAACCTGAGCCCCACCTAACGTGGCCTCCTCCCCACAGGCCCAGATGTACGCAGCTTCATCGTGGGCCCACCAGGCCCTCCAGGGCCACAAGGGCCACCGGGGGACAGCCGCCTGGTGTCCATGGACGGCTCCTACAGTCGGAGCAGCGGCTCCTCCTCTCACAGCTCGTCAGTCAGTCGGGGCACCTCCTACAGCTCTTCCATGGGCGTAGGAGGAGCCAGCGGAGGCTCCCTGGGCGAAGGGGGGGCCTTTGGTATGGACATGGGCCTGGGCCGAGGCTACGGGGCAGAAGGTGGCACGTATGGTGGCGAAGGTGGACCATTCGGGGCTGGCTTTGCCGGAAGCCTGGACTACAACGAGCTGGCTGTTCGGGTGTCTGAGAGCTTGCAGCGTAAGTCATGACCCTTAGCGCAGCCGGGAGGTTGGGTGGGAGCCCTTGTGCAGCTTGAATTTCAAGCTCCAGAAACTCCCCCTCTCATTTACGGAGCACCCAGGCTACGGGGACGGCACTTCGGGCATCAGATGGCGGTGGGGGGGATGGAAGGCAGGTGGTCCAGGGCGAGTTCTCTCGGCCAGCTTAGTTCAGAAGCCCCAGTCAGAACGGGATCAGTGTGGCCGGGAACAGGGCGTGTTGGTCTTTGGACTTTTGCTACTCCTGCTACCTGGTCTTGTCAGAAGTTTTGATGATGACGATGGTTACTGGTGGGGGGGGAGGGGAGGTTGGTTAAGAAGTCCTTTCTCCCGGTAGCTACCAGCACAGCTCTGCCGCCAGAAAGCCTCTGAGGAAAGGCCACGGCAGCAGAGGCCTGGGCCAGTCCGCAGGGAGGGACACAGGAAACCAGCAGGGTTTCTCCCTTGCTGCTGCCTCATCTAGGTTAACGGCACGGGAGTTCAGCAACCCGAGGGCTCTTGTCCTGCAAAGAGGGGCTGAGAGACCCTGCTTCCTGTGCCCACAATCTGTTGCTTCACAGGTCAGGGTCTGCTGCAGGGGATGGCCTACACCATCCAGGGCCCACCAGGCCGGCCAGGGCCGCAGGGTCCCCCCGGCATCAGCAAGGTCTTCTCTGCCTACAGCAATGTGACCGAGGACCTCATGGACTTTTTCCGAAGTAAGGGCAGCCCGTGATCGCTTTCCCAACACTTACCTTGCGGCCTGGTCTCAAGTGGGAGAAAGTCTCCTGAAAAACTTCAGTTATTAACACTTGAAAGGCTGAAAATCTGATAAATTCTTAAGTCCGTTTTCTTCTTGTGGGTCCCAGCTGTACCTCTCCCTTCTGTGCTTCTCTGAACAAAGCCCTTTACCTCCCAAACTCCAGGGTGACCTCTTGTCTGAGACCACTCTTGTCTCCCCGCAGCTTATGGAACCATTCCAGGTCCCCCAGGGCAGAAAGGAGAGGTGGGCACCCCAGGACCCAAAGGTAAGTGGTGGCAGGGAGACAGCTACTGAGATCCCGTTGTGACCACCCACTCTGGCTGGGAAGCCACCCCTTGACAGTGCTATCCAGGGACCCGTGTGGCTCCTCCGGGTCCTGCGCTCCCACTTGACTGAGCACACCCCGCTCTGTCCTCCCAGGTGAGAGGGGCCCTGCAGGACCACCAGGTCGGCCTGGGCCACCCGGCCCTCAAGGGCACAAGGGAGAGAAAGGAGACACAGGTAAGCCACGGCTGCCAGTTCAGGCAGGGCTGGGAGGCTGGCTGATGCTCAGAGAAGTAGGGGATTTGTTCTGGGGCAACCCTGAAAACTGAAGGCGAATGCCAATTACTGAAGGCAGATGCTGCCCCAACCACCGTTGGCATGGCAGTGCAATGAGCCGCTAGGGAGAAAGACTGCCCGTGTGTGGAGAACAAGAGGACCGCTCTGATGAAATAGGGTAAACCATGTCAAGAAACTGAGTCTTACAAGCGACTTTATCTCACAAGCCCATTCTGCATTTGTAACAGTCGCTATAATTGGCTGACCTAAAGGCCCACAGGCCACAGGAGGTTTAACTTCCTCCTCTAACTTCTAGGTGACCAAGTCTATGGCAGGCGGAGAAAGAGAAGCATCGCCATCAAGCCGTGAGCTCCCCTTGGCGGAACAGCCCCTGGCACCAGTTCATGCGATGGCTTATGATGCTCCTGTCAAACTCTCTCCAGAGGGCAGAAGCTGGAGGCTCACTTCCTACCGAGCCAGCACAGCCAAATAGAACCCCTGTTTTAGTCTGGAACAGTCTCTATATAGATCTACATCTCTCTATATAGATATAGTATCCAAAGGCCCCCAACCTGAACCTGCTCCGCTGGCGAGCGAGACTGGCTACTGGCTCAACCTGAGCTCCTTGGTTTCCTTAGCTCTTAGATGTAGCTGCAACCCAGGAAAGCCAGGTGCATACTTGCGGGCTCAGGAGTCCTTGAGCTTTGCCTGAGAATGACCAGAAAAGGGAAGATGGGAATGGGGAGTGTTCTGGTTCTGTCACTGCAAGGCTGCACCGTCTGCTCCTTCCTCCGTTCATTTCGCATTCTCTAGTCATAGAAAAGACTTGGCTAAGAAGCAACTCTTGTAACTGAAAAAATTAAGAAACTCACTTCCGCTGAAGATGGTGACAGGGTTTCTAATAGTCCTTTCTGGCCACAGACCTCGTTCCCACTTGCTTAGATCGTCTGAATGATTGTAGCTGTGGTTTCCGCGGCACCATGCTGGCCTTTAGAGATGGGTTCTACTGAACTTGATCACAGTAAGGGGGAGGAGAAGGGCAGCGGGGAAGGAGGGAAAATAGGAAACTCGATGCTAGGAAAGATGTCATTCTGTTCTGCACATGGGAAATGGCATGGGGCACTGGGCATGGTTGGTTTTTAAGCACTTTTCAGTACCTAAAATATGTATGTGGTCTGTTAGATGAAAAGTCATTTCAGATACAAAATTTCCAATTAAAGAGTTTTTCTAAATATTATGTTTACTGTGATCCATCTAATCAAAGTGAGAGACAGCGACAGAATGAAGAAGAGAAGGGAAGAGGGAAGGTGGTGATACGCGGTTGGGGGGAGAGGGAGACAAAGCAGGGAAGAGAAATGGGGAGAGCAAAACTGGGGGCCAGGTGGGGAGACAAAGGGGGAAATAGAGACAAGAAAGAACAGGAAAGAAAGGGAATAAAAATGAAAAAGGGAAAGGGGCGCCTGGGTGGCTCAGTCGGTTAAGCAGCCGACTTCAGCTCAGGTCACGATCTCACGATCCGTGAGTTCGAGCCCCGCGTTGGGCTCTGTGCTGACAGCTCAGAGCCTGGAGCCCGTTTCAGATTCTGTGTCTCCCTCTCTCTCTGCCCCTCCCCTGTTCATGCTCTGTCTCTCTCGGTCTCAAAAATAAACGTTAAAAAAAAAAATGAAAAAGGGAAAGAGGAAAGAGACAAAGCAAGAGAGAGAGGGAAGAGAGATAAAAAGAGGAAGAAAAAAACAGATGGGAAGAGAGGGAGAGGGAGAAAGAGATGCAAGGAAATAGAATGAAAAAGTAGGGGAGAGAGATGAAAAGAGAAACAAAAGGGGAGAGAGGTAAAAAAAAAAAAGTGTGAACCCTATGCTAATAACACTACTATAAACACAAGAAAACAAAACTAGGTGTACTTGGAACACAGCCTCTGGCATTTTGTTTAATCATGGAGATTTTTATAGGCAGACCTCGATCTACAACTATTAATGTGGACAGGTTACAAAGCATCTAAAGGTTTTCCCTGAACATAAATTATTTGAAATGAACACCTATGCAACAGATGAGCAACAAGATTATCTGCAATTAATGCAATAACTTATCCCAGCACAAAGGAGTTAGGATTGTATGGCACACACAAGATGCAGAAGACCGAAACTAACAGGAAAACTGCACAAATATCAAATGTCCCACAGAAATGCACAGAAGAATCACTCAACTTCAGAAGAGGCTACACTTGGCCAACTTGTGAAATGTTACAAGCCATGACTCTCAATTGCCAGATTAAAAATGGGATTAAAATAAATCTACTTCTCTACCTCCACCTTCTAAAAAAGTCTGGATAGTTTACTTTCTCTGTGGTCTCTTCTGAGTACCTCACATACTGTCCTGGGAAGACGGACCCTTTAGTTCTGTATTGAACTAGCGGCAACACACAGTGAGGCCACATTCTACGTGGTCTGCCAGCCTCCTTTATCACAGTCTGACAGCTACCTGCTAGGAATCATCATAGGAATTCCAAAAAATGAGTTCATAAGGCCCTCGGAATTTCAAACTTTTTGCTATGTAATGACAACTGTTTAATGAATGACCACATCACACCTTTTTAATAGCTTAAGGCTTAAAGGCTGAATCAAGTTAACAGGCTCAAGTGTTACACCCCCTTTGATCGTTCTTACCTTTATTAATCAGATTTGATTGGAGTGTTGCCTTACTCGATTTACCTTTCCAAGCTATCCAGAATCTTCAGAGTCCTATGCTCAAGCGAAACATGATAAAGGTCCAAACCTGCTACTTTCTCTGACAGAACCAGAAAGGGAAGGACAGATAACGAGATAAATCTTCGGCTGGATGGCAATGGATCTGAGCCTGTTTTCACTTAAAAAAAAAAAAAACAAAAAAAGAATGAGCTCAAAAATGTGTGATGCTCCTGGATTAGAAAATGACATGCTATGCCTCCCTCCAGCCAAGCTAAAAACCTGCCAAGTGATGCTGCCTAGTGTCTACTGAATCTTGCACGAACATATCAATGATGGAAAAGAGGTTATTTTTAGCAGAAATGAGGTCATACGGTTAGTGAAGTATTTGGTGAGAAAAAAGATCCATCCTGGGAGGGGGGGGAATATATATGTGTACATACATACATGTATATATGTATGTCGATGGAACTATTTTAGGCACCACCCAAAGGAGGGGTTTATATCCTAAAAGACACCCCCTTTCCAAGTTAGCAGTAAAAACTACATTCTTGTGTGTGGTGATGAGTCAGGTGGGAACACTAGCAAGTCTGGAAGGGTCCAGCTGCTTGGAGGACTGTGAGGGTTTAAGATGTAACTAGGACCAAAAAATGCTGCCAAACGTTTTCATGCAGGACAACCCAGTATCAAAGATTCTTAATAAAAGACCACTTGCCAGAGTAGATTAAGAAATAACTTTATTTTTCAGTTGTCAATCCCATGATTGAAAAGACATGTTGCTCCCAAATAGACAAGAGGCATAATCAGAAACAAAATTCATTTTGAAAACAGCTTATGAGGTTATTACACTGTAAAAAATCAGCAAAGGATCACCAAAAGCTGCAGCCAACATTTAAAACTGGTGTAACATTCTACTCAAGCTTAGCAGAAATTTTAAAGCCATGTCAAAACCATGTCAGCCACAGACTAGCAACAATAGAGACATTAACTGTTGAGCCTTCAAGAAAAGCATTTAAAATATCCCATTTCCTATAAAAGATCGTCTCCTTGAAAAGAAGTGATGTATTTCATCAGAAGATTCTCAGAACTGGAGCTAAAGTAACTCCTCTTCCACGCCAGTTCTAAGCTCTCCTGTAATCAATATCTATAGCTAATCTCGGACAGAATTTGGCTTCTCAGAAGAGTCTTTGTCATTTAAGCACAGTGTGGAATGGGAGAAAGTGTGTAGTCACCAGGGAACTAACAGAGTACAAAAGACAGTCACTTCTGAACTCGCTGATGCTCAAGAAATCAGAGACCCTCCGTTACAGCGGGTCTCATATGCCTGAGAGCTTTGTGCTTGAGGAAACACTACTTAGAGGTAGCTCTGGTTCGGTTTATATTTAATTACAATTTGCCATGTCCTGTCACAGGAAAGTTCTAATATTTTCAACAAAGTATAAGCACTCTCAATTTCCTCTTTACCCCCCGCTCCCCACAGACTGCCCACTGGAAAGGGTAAGAAAAGCTTAATTGTGACTCCACAAAGAATAGCAGCTAACTCAGCAGTTCACACTCAACTACAGACGGACAGGACTAGGAAAGGCAACCCGGTGCAACTGGCTCTGGAGCCAGGCCTGCAGAAGTGTGGCGTGCGGTGTGTTCAGAGCACACAGGGAGAAGAGGGAGGCTGGCGTCGGGGCACACACAGACTTTCTTTGATGTGTTTCATAGCACATCCTGCCAGAGCAACACCACCACCAAAAACGGAATGGATCTGACTGTACCCTTTGACTTCAAAGAAGTCTGTGCCCGTCCCCAGTTCTCCACCTACACTTCATGCAAGAACAAATGACCACTATTATCTATTTGAATATAGGGCTTAACAAGAAGTGAGCGGGGACGGGTAAAAACAGCATATTCTGTAACAAAATGCTTTTTGCAAAGATTTATGTAACTTAAGCGTTAAAATGAATTGTTCATCTCTACGTATGTATCATTTTGCAGTCCTGCACCCACATGAGTATGGTTATATATGAAAGAGAACTCCAGCAAGGACACTGAATCCAAAGGGCAGTTTTAAGGGTTTTACAAGATTTGCTAATAAATTTACCAGAGTGTCAACCATTCTACTCTGAGCCTCTTTTCTTTATTCAATACTCTCACGACAAGTTGAAAAGAATAAAAAGAATCAAATATTCAGACTAAATTGATTATGTGCCACAAGCTATTTAGCACACAGGATATCCTTTAAAAGATACTGAAAAAATGTCCACTACCTGAATTCTTTTTATAAAGCCAATAAACTGAAAATTTCAAAGGAGAGAGTAGTAAGAACCTTCCTCCTCTCTCCCTCTGCAAATAAATCATTAAATACATTGGGTAACATTATAATGTCATTTTTATCATAATAATATAAACAATTTCCATCATCATCCTGAATATTACTTTATAAAGATATATACTTTAAAAGGCTTTCAAAACATTTTTCAACCCAGCATTTGAGAATAAAGCATTAAAAGAGTTTTGTATACAGCAACACATTCAATGTGATAAGTGTATGAATTTACAACCATACATAATATATATATATGTATATATATATATATATGTATATATACTTCTATAAAAAACAAACTTGGCCAGAAGTTAAGGCTACCTACAAAGTTGTCCAAGAAATTATGCTTGTCAAAACAATTACAAAATTAAAATCACACATGCATTTTTAAATCATCTAAACCACTGACAAAATAAGGTTCAGCATTCAAAGTTTTCAAATTAACTGCAAGAAAGTGCTACTACACATATTTACATTTTCTTAATATGAATCAGTGTTCCCACAAAATTAATCTTGAATTTTTCACCAGCCTCAAACGTAACGTAACTAAAAAATGAAACTTCCACAACTTGGTACCTGGTACTCTTCGAAGAGAACAGGCTGGAAGTGGCAAGCAGCAAGCATGATTTACAAATATGCGGTCTCACTGACCCAACTACATTTCATAATACTGCTTGACCTGACGCGGGCTTGGAATTCTAAGCCGCAAGAGGGACCAAGAGTGAACATTTCATTAATAATTACACATATCAGCAACCAGATGGTAAAGGTGTCAGGCTTTTCCCATTCAAATCAAATAATTTAAACATGGAACTAAATAAAACCAAAATACAAATGACTTTCTCTCAACAACACAGTCATTTCTGACGTTGCCTAAGTATTTTATTTAAATGCTTTCTGAAAAAGTATTCTGAACAAATGCCTCTTTTAAGATTAATTTCAAAAAGTACATTTAACGCAGAGCCTGCAGAGCCTTCAATGGACGAAGTGTGCTAGGATGGAAGAGGTCCCTTGCCCAGCTCACAGACTATTTTAGGAAATGAGCTGGAATGCTAAGTCTATACTTTTAATTTGGTGAGTGTTACATGCCGAATTTCAGTATCTAAAAGCTACTTTTTTTACATCTTTCCAACCTTGCAAAACATAGATTTTAGGATGGAAATTTCATCAAATGGTAACAGGAGCAAGACTTAAAATACAATAATGTTTAATGCTAAGGATGTTTGTCCCTGTTGAATCAAGAGAAAATCCTACTTTAGACTCCAATGAAATTTAGTGTTTTAGGCACTATTTTAATAAAACTAGCACCCTTAATTTTTAGCTCATGACTGAAAGTAATTATTTTAGACAAACTATTGAAATAATGTTTCTTTTTAAAAAGTTTGTTGCTATTTAAAGATAAAATAGATTTATTTACTCAACCAATATGGTATTTTGAGCAACTCATAGCTTTTTCATGAGAGCAGATTCACCAAAATAAAATTATTCCAACTCTCTACAGCAGAGTTGCAACTACAGAATTTAGGCATCACTGAGAAGTTAGGTCAGGTAAAAAGATATTCACTAATACTCAGTGACCTAACAGCTTTAAAAAAAAAAAAACAAACACCTCAAACATTTTATTTCTAAAGTATTTCACCTAACAGTGTCTAAAGAACACAATTTTTAAGATTAATATACAAAATCACCTTAGGGAATTACTGCAAGATGCCACTTCGCCAACATGGCCTAGCATCTGTCACGGTTCCTTTCCCTTCATCTTTGCTAAACAAACAAACAAACAAATAAACAAAAAACACCTAGAAGGTGAGGCAGGTGATTGTCTTCATAAGCTCTCTGATATAGATTGTGGCAGAAGATGAAGAGAACAGAATGACATATTTAAAAAGCCAAACCGAACCACAGACTGCTTCCTACTGTTACGACCCTGTGGAATGCAAGCTAGGGATAGGATAAAACTTGGAAATCCGGCTCTGTGCTGATGGGTTAAGGCATTCAGACTCCCCAGTCATTTTAAAGAACACCTCCTGTTCCTGCAGTTTCCTGGCAAACTCTTCTTCCAGTGTCTTAAAAAGGAAGGGAAAAAGAAATTATGTGCTGGTATTACAAATAGAATTTACTCTGACAGCCAAGAATAAAACTATTTGCTCAAAACACTCTCTCTGTATGCTATCCTAAGGAAGACCAGAGTGCTCAACATTTAGAATAGGCTGTGAACAGCCCTAGACTCAAGCCTCTGGCTCAGCCATGTGAATGTATATAACTTGGGTCAATTACTTACCTTCTCCCTATTACAGATGCATTTTATTCTTCTGTTGTAAAATAGGGACTATATCACTATATCCCCTACCTCAATGGGTTGCTATGTGAGGGTTAAATGTGAAACATACTAGGCACTCAAAAGATGGCATCTATTATTAACTATTACCGGTCTCTCCCACATGGCACTTTCCGTTTTCTGTTTTTTATTTTGATTTTTGGTGTGCAGGTCTTTTCTTCCACACTAGATAAGAAGCTGTTTGAAGGTAAGCCCTAAAGCGGATTCATCTTTACACAATACAGAGCAAATGTAGTAAGTACTTGATAAATACTCTAGGTATCGATGACTTTGTGGACAAATGACTCAGGGATAAGTGCCGCTGTAGAGGCACAAAGTTTAGGAGAAAATGGAAAGAAACAGGAAGGTTTTTCAGAGGTGAAACAGGAGCTCAGCCTTGAAGGAAAGATAAAAATTTGATAGACAGGATGTGGAAGGCATGCCAGACAGAGGGGACTGAAACAACGCACACAGACAGGAAACCACAGACTTGGTGTGAGTAATGGTGATTAGACTCAATACCAGAATATGAACAGGCAGAAAGTGGCCCGTGGAAGATACAGTTAGAAAGTCTGACTGTGGCCGCGGCACCTGGATGGCTCAGTTGGTAGAGCGTCTGGCTTTGTGTCAGGTCATGAGCTCACAGTTCATGGATTTGAGCCCCGCATCTGGCTCTGTGCTGACAGCTCAGAGCCTGGAGCCTGCTTCAAATTCTGTGTCACCCTCTCTCTCTGTCCCTCCCTCACTCACACTCTCTCTCTCAAAAATAAACATTAAAAAAAGAACAAAAAAATTGACTGCGGCCAATGTATGGCACTATGACAGCTTCCAAGTCAAAATGAAGCATTTCTATTTTATTCTGATGGAACTGTAGATTTATCAATACCACAATGCCAGTGTCAGAGACATTCTTGAATATAGGAAGAAACGAAAAGGAACTCGAGATCAGAAGGCCAATTTTAAGCAAGCAGAATGATAGCAATGGGAAAGAGAAATATTATAAAGAGAGAGTCAAAGTTATTTGTCATCTCACTGAAATGGGATGTGATGGAAATGAAAGATAATTCACATTGCTAGACCAGATGTAATTAAGAAGACGGGGTATAGGAAAGAACACTATTGGTAGGTGGGACTGAACGTGGGAAAAGTGAGGTGGAGATGAAGGAGAAAGGCTGCTGAGTTCAGTTTGATCTTCTCCGAGTTCACAATCTTCAGTAAACACTCAACAGGTATGTATTGATCATTACAATTTGCCAGGAACTGTGCTAGAAGCAGATACGTATCAGTGAACAAAGAGATAATGTCCCTGCTTTCAAGGAGCATACATTCTTGTGGGAGAAGACAAACAATAAACAAGTGTCTGTCTGCTGGTGAAGAATGTTATGAAGGAAAACAAAGGTGAGGGGACAGGGAATGTCTGAGGGGAGCATGGGGGCTATTTTATATATGGTCATCAGAAAGAGAAACCTTCGACGAGATGTTGGAACAGAGGCCTGAATGATATAAGAAGGAATGGAACATCCAGGTGGAAAATGGGTGCTTAGGACATGAACCAATAATAAGACAATAAACAATAGCAATAGCAGGGACACTTGGGTGGCTCAGTCAGTCAGGCGTCTGAACTCCTGATTTTGTCTCAGGTCTTGACCTCACAGTTCATGAGATTGAGCCCTGCATCAGGCTCCAAGCTGATAGCACAGAGCGTGCTTCAGATTCTCTCTCTGCCCCTAACCCACATATGTGCACACTCTCTCTAAAAATAAATTAAATAATAGCAACAGCAGACATTCATTGAACCCTAACTACAGCTCAGGTACTAGGAAGTGTTGTCTTTGAAAGAACATCACTTCTTTCAACTGTCTTAACAACCCCAATTAGGTATGTAGTGTCATCTTTGTTTTACTAATGAGTAAAACTAGGCTTAGGAATGTTAAGTGACAGAATTAATCATGACAGCACTAAGCCTTGAACCCGGATCTGCAGGACTTTAGAACCCCTCCAAGTTCTGGAATCATCCTTATTTTTTTTTTTAACATTTATTTTATTTTTGAGATAGAGAGACAGAATGCGAGTAGGGGAGGGCAGAGAGAGAGGGAGACAAGAGAATCCAAAGCAGGCTCCAGGCTCTGAGCTGTCAGCATACAGCCTGACGAGGGCTTGAACCCATGACCAGTAAGATCATGACCTGAGCCAGTCAGACACTTAACTGACTGAGCCACCCAGGTGCCCCAGGAATTGTCCTTAAATATGCGATAGATGAAGCCATGACTAGGCACAGGATCATCAAGGGTGTAAAGATGGGAGATGTCTATGCTTCAGATAACTAGAAGACAGAGAAAAAGTGATAAAGAGCACAGAGAAAGAAGAGAGTCACAAAAGTCAGATGAGAAGAGAATTTTAAGAAAGAAGATTTTTAACAACAGTTCAATAACACCATAGGATTTGACTGTTAGCAACTCACTTATGACCACAGTCAATGAGTTCAACTGGGGAGTCTGAGGTGAAAGCTAGACTGCAAAGAGCTAAAGAAACTGGAGAAAGGTCCTTCCCTACTTTTAGAATTTCAATCCACATGAATGTATTACCTATTCAAAAATTTAACAATAAATAAAGTTTTTTTCTTTTTTTTTTTTTAGGACAGGAAAAAGTAAGTTTTATTATTTATTACATTAAATATTAGTCACAGACTAAAAACAGTGTTATCTGGCAAATATGAAGTTTACTGGTTAAATAGAAAACCATGCTCTGCCCTCCCACTCAGCCCGCTAAAGATGACTTTCCTGGGAGCATCTCAGTGAACAGATGTTTCTTCTGTTTCCATGAAGGGTTTACTGGCATCTGTTAGTGAAGGGCTCTTTTGGCAAAAGGATTTTATTGTTCATCTACAAATACACATGGATAAAGTTTAAATTAAAAAGCCATACTGAGTATCTGGGGCACCTAGATGGCTCAGTTGGTTGTGTGTCCAACTGTTGATTTTGGCTCATGATCCCAGGGTCATGGGATGGAGCCCCGTGTCAGCTCAGCGTGGAGCCTGCTTGAGACACTCCCTCACTCTCTCTCTCCCCTTCTCTGCCCCTCTCCTCTACTTGTGATCTCTCTACAAAAAAATTTAAATATTAAAAAAAAGCCATACTATTAACTGACTTGGTCATTTCACTTTTTCTAGAAACATTTAGCACATAGTAGGTGCTACTTACATATATTTAATTGACTAACTGGATAAAGAGAAGAAAGGAATGGTCAAAAGGTGTAGCAGGCAGGAAGCCCAAGAGAAAATAAAGGTTTGAGAGTTAGCAAAGGGAGAGGATCACATAGTAACAGAAAAAAAAAATGAGTTGAAATGGTTGACCAATTGGACCAGGCCAGCAGGGAATCAAAAAGCAAGTACAAAAAAGGAAGATGGCTGAGAGCTAGATGGCAGGAGGGAAGCCTTCCCTATTTTACTAGATTGTCAATTTACTGTCATATGAGGGCCTTGTAATCTGGCTCCAGCCAACTTGTCCAGATTGAGTTGTCATCACTTCCTTCTTTCTCTCCCTCCTTAATGCCGACACCAAGGCACACTCCCCCAGCGCCCCAATGACAGGGAGCTACTTACGATTCCTGTACACACCATTTTCACCCATTCTCATCGCTGTACTTAGACTGCCCATCACACCCCAACCTGTTTGTATGCCTAGCAAGATCTTACTCATCCTGAGTCTCACTTGGCTTACAATGCATCTTCTCTGTAAAGCCTCCCCAACTTCCCAGACTGAAGCACTCTTCCTCTTTGGCCTGAACACTGTGCTCCCGTCCCATCTCCTATACTTACCTCCTTCAGAGCAATGATCCTACTCATCTGTAATCGTGTGTCACTACATTCTGAACATTTGAGGGACAGGGGCTTTGTCTCTTCATCTCTGTATCTCCTGTCCCTGACACTGTACCTTATATTATGTAAACAGCCAATAACTGGGTGCATGAATGGATGAACATAAACATATTTTAACTAAAGCTTTTAAAATTACCTTTTTCCTAGGTCTCAATTTCTCTCTCCATTCCTTTAATTCTTGGCTGTGTTCCTCATCTAATTCCTTGAGTTTCTGAGTTTCATGTTCTACCAATAGGTGGCATTTTTCATTCTGAAAATAAAGTTTGGGTTAAAAAATTTCCAATCAACTAAGCAAATTTTCACAAATATAATTACCTTTCAAAATAATAAAGTACTCATCAAACATCAAACTATTACTGAGGTTCAGATTCTCCTCTAAAAACCCAGGGCCAAGAACTATGAAATGAGTCATAGCTTCATTTTTGCAAGTTTAGAAGTTAGAACTGTTACCATATGAAATGAACTAAAATAGAATTAGTTTGATCCTACTTTTCCTTTCTAAGAAGGTCTGCTCATAAAACTGACACTTCAAAGGGCATCTTCTTATGCATTTACCATTGGTGCCAGAATGTGGGATCAGGACTATTCTACTTTAGTAAATTAAGAGAATATGAAGAGTATACATAAAGTATACACTATTCTGAAATCTTAAACATTTTGGACTATATACTGGGTGGGCTGCACACTCCAGGTAAGGTCCCAAAACAGTCCCCCTAGGGTAACCTTTAAATGTCTTGAGAAAAATTCTCATATATTTAGTCCATCACTTTTTTCAAAAACCTAGAAGAAAATGAACTATTTCTCCCTAAATGAAATTTTGAATGCAGAATCTGCCAACAAAACCACCTACCTCATTTTGAAAACTTTGTCATCTTCTTTGCAAAAGAGACTACAAATAACTCAATACTGCTTTTGAAAGACTCAACTTCTTAGGTTTACAATTTAGCTTCATGTTTATATAAACTCTCAACAAGTGCCTATGATACTAACCTGATCTTTACTCGAGTCTATACAGAAAACAAATCTCTCAATCCCAGCATTTCCATGATTACAGTACAGTTTATCCCAGTTAGCTACTGTTTTCTCCAAACCACCACTTGTGCTGCCCTGCTCCCACCAGCTCAGTTCTCATGCTTCTCTATCTGACCTGCAGCTGATGCAGCTCTCGGACATTGGCTTCACACTGCAACTGAAGATCCCGCATTTGATTTTCATGTTTCTGATGCTGAGCCATTCTCTCATTTTTCTGCCTCTTTTCTTCTTGAGCAGCAAACTATAAATAAGAAAAAGAAAATACTGTTAACAAGCAATATAATTTCTCCATCTTCTAAAGGAATAATTAAGGAACTTAACAAATCTTAAAGTACAATAAACTAAAGCTGCAAGCACGAGTAACGTACTGTGACTCAATCTGGAGTCGACATTACGGCTTTGGACGGGGGGTGGACTTCTGGTACCTTGTTCCTCCTACCTGATCAGTGACCACAGTTCATTTATGTGGGGTACCTGAGACTGCAGAAGCACAGTGAGGCCCCTACATTTTAACTTCAAAAGCTGTGCAAGTCACTGAATTCCCAAGGTTGGTTTTAGGGCCCAAGAGCTGGTGTGGGGCCTGGGGCCCTCTGTGGCCACCACCCTAGGAATACTAAGGTGGTATATGCCACATAACCAGCCCCAGTCCACAGAGCCAAAGAAAATACCAACAAGCCCAAAGGGGCTCGAAATGTTTATGACATAATTATCTGACACTTCTAAAGGACATTCCAGTTTTTTAAACTTAAAAAAGAAGAGAATAATTGGCTTATGTACCTGCTTAATTTTGTCACGGTCCTGATCTGGTGTGGCCGTTGAGTTAATTCTCAAGCTTTTCTTAAACATGGCCATTCGAGTCTTGGCTTCACTGCGCTGAATCTTAGGCAGTCTTGCTCTTTCTTGAGTCTGTCTGTTTTTCAATTCCTCAATAAGTCGTTGATTATAACGCTGCATTTGTTCTGTTTCCTAAGAAAGTATCAAACACAATCTTGTGATGTAGATATAATTTAAAATTTTAATTTTTTATTTATTTTTTTATTTGAGAGAGAGAGACAGAGTGCATGCAAGGGAGAGGCAGAGAGAGAGAGGGACACACAGAATCCAAAGCAGGCTCCAGGCTCTGAGCTATCAGCACAGAGCCCAATGTGAGGCTTGAACCCACAAACCATGAAATTATGACCTGAGCCATAGCTGGATGTTCAGCTGACTAAACCATGCAGGTGCCCCTAAATATAATTTAATACTCAGTACCCACATGTATGCTCAAACATGTTCTTGTGTTGTTTCCCAAAATCACTCCCTCCCTTGTTGTATTATCAAGCAGCAAACTTTTAGTCAAAATATAATTTATAACAAAAATAAAGCTATTAGTAAGCTTTATATAAGAGTCTTATATTGAAATTCTCATTACTAAGTCAGAAAGTCCACATTTTTTAAGGTATCTGAACCATAAATGGGGCCACAATAGCTACCTTTGAGACAGCATGAAGATTATAATGTAGAAGAGGACTTAAGCATTGAAATCAGTCACCTTCCATGAAACTCATAGAAAAGAAGTTTGCAATCATGATCAAGATACAATTAATTACTCCAAACTTCACCAAAGAAATTTTAGGATTAAAAAAATAGAAAGGAAATCTAAAATTCATTCTCTACGAAATAGAAGTTTCAAAAATGAATAACTCTGCAAACTTCAAATGAACAAAAAGTAAACCAATTTTCCTTTCATTAACCTTCTCATGGCGCTTAAGTAGCTGATGTCTTTGCATGAAATACTGATCTTTAAGTTGCTGTTTGAGCAGCTGGTGTTTTTCTTGTAAGTGTCGTTCTTCAAGCTCCCAAATTGCAGCTTCTCGAGCTAGAAGAAAGCAATTTTCAAAATGTCACTTTGTTCTTTTTACTAATGTACTTTGGAGTTCATTTTAATATTTACATAAATGTGTTCTACATACAGTAACTTATATGCACACTGACATTGTGAACTATAAATGAAATATTACCAACGGACAGATAATATCTACCACTATTTACCATTCTGTTCTGATGCTCTATAAACAGAAAATGCCCCACCCACAATACCAAAATTCCTTTTAACCATCTTAATGAAAAATAAAAAAATCTAAGCTTTTTGTTAAAATCCCATTCTGTCATGATGCCATTAAGTATACCAACAATTGTAAGGCATAATGAGTACACAAAACTATTCAGGTAAGGCTTTAGCATCATCTGCACAGTAAGATGTTTTAAGGATTGTATGTTTATGTTCACTTCTGTCACAAAGGCATTCATTCTATGTCTTACAGTATTTAACTTTATAAAGAATTTTAAAAATTTAAATGCTTAAAATTTTACATAAAGCTTTTCCTCTTATTAACTTCAACTTTATCTTTCTACCACTTTAGCAAAGGAAAGCATTCACATAATTTCCAATTATTCGATATTATGGATACTAGATATACACATATATCTTAGCAATGGTCTTCAGATACCATTTTATATATACACATATGCTGTGTAATTTCACATACCTCTCATGAGCTGCTGTTTGTTATTCAGGCACTCTCTTTCAATATTGGCCAGTTCTGCCTTCTGCTGTTGGATGATCTTTTTCAGAGAGCCATCTAATTCTTGTTGTTGCTTCTGAACAAATTCCTGTTCCTATTAGACAGTTAACCATGAGTTAATAAGCATCTACTGAGTGAAACATCCATTTATCTATATGACTATATACATTAGTAGCTATCAAGATTTCTAAACCAAGTTTCTAAAGTTAACTGGATTTAAAAATCACCAATTATATAGCAATATATAAATGTATTAGTCACTCAATTCAAGCCCAGAAAAAAGTACTAGGATACATAATACTCTAAACTCAGTATTAAAAATAATACACATGAAAGAAGTCACCCATTCAGAATGCCCTATGATATGAACATCTTTAGGAAAATAATAAATTTAGAGCTTCTAAAACTGATCATTCATTACACTATGGTGTGGATAAAACAAGAAAAAACAAAATGCCTTTTATGAAAAAGAGAATAAAGAGCAAATAAGTAAAACACATATCAGAATATTTAACATCTCTATTTTTCCAAGAAATAAAGACTTAGGAAGTAATACCATGGCAACACTAACAGAGAAATAGTTTCTGTATCTCTAGCATGTGCCTAAAAAGAACAACAGTTTATGGACTTAATGAGAAATAGTGCATTGCTAGAGAAATGTGATCTAGGACTCATAAAGTGAGTTACATTTTATAAATAAATAAATAAATGAACACACACACACACACACACACACACACACACACACACACACACACACATTCCTGATAGTCAAAAACTTCTGCCAACATGTTTGGGATTCACTCATTCATTCAACAAATATTTACTGAGTACATACTATTTGCCCAAATGCAAAAATTTATGCTTTAAAAAAAATCCTTCGATAACTGTGTAAGAAAAGGAAATGTTAAAGTGACTTATGGTCTTTATGCTAGATTGCACATTCACAGAAGAAAAGGAACAATATCCAAATTGAAGAAATGTAAATTTTGCCAGTAAATGTTCAGCTCTCCATCCCTCTTTTGGCAGTTACAGCAGTCTATATATGATTAACTCAAGGGATATTCTGATCAATTTGAGTGTGGATTTAGAAATTTAAGATTGAAGTGGCACTCCACCTATAATCCCTCCTCTTGCACATCCAAGAGAAGATAAAACCTCAAGGTCCATTTTGGATCTACTCTTTGTGCCTTTGACAGAGTCTGACAGGATCTGGATCACTACCAGCCTGGTCTTCAATGCACTGAGAGTGAGTGTAGCCGTGTTCCTTAAGGTGCATGCCTTACTATGTGTCTGGAGGTGAGAATTAGGTCTTACCATTCATGACGCCCTGTTAAAGTAATCTGGAGTTATAGATACTGCTGTCTCATCTGTGTCATAATTTTTACTTCAGCATAAATACAATTACACACTAGCAGAAAGACTAATGAATTGCCTCTGTAAAATACAATTGTGAGCTTCACCACAGCCAAGTTTTTATCACAGAAAAAAAGCCACAATGAATATTTAATTTCAACTATCTAGAATAAGGCCTTTTGAGTTTTATTTAAAGAGATATGAAATCTCCATGCCTATTTTTTAGGCAATTATAACAAAGAAAGTTGTTCAAGCTGGTCATTTTCCTACAGTAAATATCACATAATAAAAACTAAATTGTTTCTCTAATTTCATAGTAAAATTTCTATGTACAAACTTGTACAATACTTAATATATAATCTATAACTTAATATAACCTGCAGATATAGCAAAAGGTTTTCACATCTGTACCATTAACGTGTATAAAGGACTTTTAAAAAATATCTCTGTAGACAGAAACAATGGGCCCAAATTAACTACCATCAATATAAATACTACATTTAGGCTCAAGTAAATGCAAAAGTACAAGATGAGGGTGAATAAATATTTATGTGAAAATTAAGAAGAGTAAATACATGCCAGTGCCACTAAAAAAGTAAATGGAATTTCTTGTGAGTTTAATTCTTGGTCCTATTACTATATTTGTCTAGATTAAGCAAGATGACAGTTCAGTTCAAAGAAAATCTTTATTAAGTATTTACTAATGCTAGGCACTGTACCACTAAAGGGGCTACTAAAATTAAGAAAAGACAGTACTGCCTTTAAGGACCTTCCATTCTAGTGATCCGAAATTGGTTCTGTATGCCCACATAAAGAATAGTGGGTCTCTTCCCTTAGTATCACATTTTCAGAAGTTCAAAAGTAAACCACAGAAAACAGAAAGCTGTGAATACAGGGTCTAGAAACCATGCCACACAATGAATAATGGAAAGAATTACAGAAGCCTGTCCTGAAGCAGCTAATCCATCAGGGGAAAATAAGAGCTAAGACTGTTATACAGAAGGAGGCAGAACTACCATTGTGCTGCTCCAGAAAGTAAAATAAGAGTTGACAGGTAAGAGTCAAGGTAGGCAATGTATGCAAGTGCCTTCAACAATGAGAATTAGCAAAGACACCAGTTGTCTTACAGAGCCAAGGACTTAAATAATTAAGCAAAGTCTAGATAATTACATAGTCAAGAATACTATGCAAACAATTTTCTTTACTTCTTTTCTTCCTTCCTTCATTTATTTTAATCTCGATATTTATTTTTATTTATTTATTTATCCCTACCCCAAACTGGGGCTGCAACTCACAACCGCAACATCAAGAGTCATATGCTCTCCCAACTGAGCAAGCCAGGCACCTCAAATAATCTTCTATATTAAAGGTAAAAATTACCTGAGAGGTCCAGGTCCCTCACACACTAATTCGTATATTTTGTTACTTCAAAAGAAATAAAATTTTGATATTAGTGAGCTTTCTTTAAATTTCCTAACTACAAAAGCCAAGTATAACACATTCACATTGGAATTTGTAATTGGAAATTATTCTTAAGATCTAAAAGAAAAGTGATCTTACATTCCAAAAAGACTGAACAAATTTACCCAAAAAAAAAAAGATGGATTTGATCAATAAAAGTAACAATTTAAATCAACACAGAAACTATAAAATGCACCCTTTAAAAGTGTAAGTTTAAATGCTGATAAGGAATTTTGTCATATTAATCAGACAACTATAAATATTAAAAACACAACTTCGGATTCTAGAAAACTATAAGAAAGGGTTATGTTATATTGGGCTATTTGTACAGAATTTATTTCTAATTCAAAGGATAAAAATGGTAATGATCAGAAAAGTGATCTTTTTTTTAAATTTTTTTTTTTTTTCAACGTTTTTTTTTTTTATTTATTTTTGGGACAGAGAGAGACAGAGCATGAACGGGGGAGGGGCAGAGAGAGAGGGAGACACAGAATCGGAAACAAGCTCCAGGCTCCGAGCCATCAGCCCAGAGCCTGACGCGGGGCTCGAACTCACGGACCGTGAGATCGTGACCTGGCTGAAGTCGGACGCTTAACCGACTGCGCCACCCAGGCGCCCCAGAAAAGTGATCTTAATTCATAATTTCTCCCTCTCATTAAAAAAAAATTGTTTTGCTTACTCTTTAGAAAACTACAGAGTCCAACAGCTGCCAATAATAATAAAAAAAAATAAGTCTAATTTCAGGAGAGGGGAAAGGAATGGGTGAAATCAACTCCAGTTGTGTATATCAAACATCAAAAACAAAAATTATAGCATTAAGTGAGCTAGTCACTTCCCCATAGAAACTGTGAGAAAGAATAGAGCCTGCAATTCCAGACTTAATTTAAAACTACAGCAAGGGGAAGAACAACTTACTATTCCTTATACAATTTGAATAGTGAAAACTAAAGTTAAATGGAACTATGATCACATTTAATATGCCTTTTCTGACCATATCCATAATTAAAACATATATATAACATATATAGAATCAAAATGTCACTTCACACAAAGATAAAAATCTAATCACAGCATTCAATTTCTCACATGTGCAAAGTTTATAAAATACTCCTGGGAAGCTACTTCTTGGAAATGAAAATCTCAAAATTTGTGGCGAGGTAGAAAAAAAGAACACTGTTCGGAGTGTTCTAATCCCAGTTCTACCATTAATATCGTTTGTGACTTCAAGTGGACCGCTTAGTCTTCTGTGCTGCGATTTCCTTATCTATAAAATGGATACACTCCATCCCTATATTAGGGTGGAGGTAGTAAGAATCAAATGTGAAAATGCTTTGAAGAATACTATACTATAAAGTTCATTTCAGATTATTACTGTCATTACTGACATTATCATCTATCAATCTTCTAGGCTTTAACAAATAAAGCAAACAATGAAAAGGCACATGTGAGCTGAAGAAAAGGCAGATAAAACGGGAGAAGGCATCCTCCCACAGATACGTGGGACTTACATCCTGCAGCTGGGCACTGGAGACTGCGCAAGAGGACAACTGAAAAGACTGGATCATGGCCTGAGCAACACCCTGCGGGTCAGAGTACAGTGCACCTCCCAGGTGAGAATACAGCTGATGACTTTTTGTAAATGGAAAGAATAATTATACAAATGTTGAGTTTCGGGAGGCCTCTAACAAGTTACCTAACAGAGAGGCCTCTTTCTCATCTGTAAAAAGGTTTTGAATGAGATCAGTGGTTTCCAAACTCTAGTTTATGCTGTTGTTTTTTAAACCAGTCAAACCCTCTTTCAAAAAATTTACCACAAAATGTATGAAACAGATGAAAAGTAGTGCTGCTTTAAAGTCTAAGGAGGGACCCAGAACCCCCAGTCCTCTCTTTTTGAAGGATCCCTGAGGTGCTTCTTCCAGACTCCACAGCTCTTGGGAGTACAGTTTAAAAACCACTGGACTAGACAATCAAATACTTCTGGCTCCATGACTATATAAATATTATTCACAAATTCTCAAAATGTTTAAAATAGACGCGGTACCAAGTTATCATTTTAGCACCTTCATGTCAAGCAGTAGCTAAAGAGAAATACTTTTAAATTTGTTAGATTACTAAATTTTCATTAAATTTACAGAAAGAAATTTACTGTTGCTTTCAGCTTTAGTTGAAAATACAGGCTAGCCCCCAAAATTTTATGAAAAATCACCAACAAAATTTTATTAAAGCATGGGATCACTTAACTCCTTCAACACTAAATTTTCAATGTCAGCTCTAGCATCTGAAATATGTATTACCTTTTAGAATCTAAAAAGCCTACATTCCTGTACAAGGAAAAACCATATTGGTCTTATCTTGTTTGAAATCCAAATTATCCAAAATTAGATGTGTGAAGCAAGGACTTCCTCTTCACCTATTAACGACATGACCAATAACCACCGGACTAAGCTGATAAGAGTTCAGATTAAGCACAGAAATAACAGTTTAAACATGAGAGGCAGTACGGTGTGGTAGTTCAGAGGTGCTTTCACATTTCCTCCCCTGTAGAATAGAGGTAATAAGAGTAACTACCTCACATGTTGTGAGTTTAAATGAGTTCATGCAGGAGAAACATTTAGAACAGCGCTTGACACACAATAAATGCTGTGTCTGCTTTAACACTTTAGTAATCCCCACACTAGGCCAAGACAAAATTTTTCACTGCCTCAAACCAAACCCCCTCCCTCCCAAAACATGAAATTTATTCAGATAGGCTAGTTTTGTTAAATTTTAAATTCCAAAATACTTCCCTTATTTTTCATGGTGTTAAGATATTCTTTCCTTTAAATTTTTAAACAGCAGTTTAAAATATCCTTCTGGACAAAAATTAAAAAAATTTAAATGTCATTCCATTTGTCGGTCCCCAGTGGTTTTTGTTTCTTCCATGTTTTTACATGGGTCTGTAAAAGTTTGGGAACCACTTTTTACATCACATAAAACCACATTAAATTGGTAATTTAAAGCAACCGTTAACATATAATCCATGTCTCTTCTTCCTTTAATTGACATATATAACTACAAACTGAGCTCACCTCTCTGCTTCTAAATTGAATGCAAACTTAATTAAAAGAAAAATGATTCCTAGTAAAAAGACCTCATACAGTCATGAGATAATTCTAAAAAAAATTCTGTTTAAAGTACTAGCTTGTCTAGTTTTGTAAAGAATTCACCCATCTTAATTGGCTCATCCTTATCATAACCTAGAATCAAGTTTATACAGGCAATATTTTTTTAAACTGCTAGATTCTGAATCAAAAAGAAAAACAATGTAGTTAGTATTTAAAATCTGATTTTAAGTTGCTTATGTTATTGAGTTTAATAGTAAAATAAATGTTTGATCTACCATTTAACATTACCGTTTATGGTTTTTCTTTTAACTCCCAACTTTATAAAAACAATGGCCTTATTTTTTTTTTAAGTTTATTTATTTTGAGAGAGAGAGCAAGCAAGCATGAGCCAAGGAGGGGGAGGCAAAGAGGGGGAGAGAGACTAGCAAGCAGGCTCCACGCTGAGAGCGTTGAGTCTGACATGGGCCTCAAACCCACGAACTGAGAGATGATGACCTGAGCTGAAATCAAGAGTTGGGTGCTTAACCAACTGAGCCACCCAGGTGCCCCAACAATGGTCTTTTAAATAGTCATTCTTTTCATGTGTACAAAGCCTACACATTCAACCTCTATATTTTGTCATAAAAGTCTTCTATCAGTGACATTACTACTTAAGTATATAAGTTTCCCTCATGATTATAATAAGAATACAGTGAATTATACATCAACATCCTTGTTTATTTCATCCGGAGTCAGCTTTCCAAACATTCCACTTAATTTCATATTTGCAACTGAAATGTCACCATCTCATGTGAATTTAGTTCTACATAAAGAATGCCCTGGGAACCTTGTATTAGGAGAAATCAACATCATATAATAACTACAGTTGGAGTTTACCCTGTCCACCATGGTTTATTGAGCTGCGAGAATAATGCTGCTTTCTGTTTTTAGTAGCATTAAGCTGCTGCTGTTACCTGAGCATGCTGGCTTTGTGCAAGCTCCTCTTTCCTGCGTTTCATGAGCTCTTTTCTCAGCTCTTTGGGTGCTTTCTCCACTTCATTTATAACCTACAGTGTATAAGCATGCAGGAGGTGGGGAAATAATACTTTCTCCACAGCAAGCATTTATGTAGCAGACAAGCTACAAGTCAAAGATTAAAGCTGATACAAAGTTCCTTTCAACATGCAATAGTATAGGTGTTAGTTTGGTGAAAAAGAATGAAAGGATAGAACATGCTAAATCTCGGTGCAGAAAGGGACATCACACCATATAAAGGTTAATCAGATGCCTAATTATCCCTATATATTACTCTCTCTTAAAGATCCAAAGACAATCAGTAAAGGATTACTAGCAGCACTGAACACATCTACTGACATTGTTTGAAATGCTGAAAATAACGAAAGTCAATGCCATTTATAAAAGTACAAAATTTCGTAACTGGCTTGATAAAACCAAAGAAATAAGTCTAAATTAAGTTCATTTAATGAGACCAAAAGAAAACAAAAGGGGAAATAAATGGATACTATGTTTTCTTTTTTCATCAAACACACCATTTTATATACGGTGTGATAAAAACAAACATGTCTGATGATTTTGTGTTGCATTAGAATAACATTCTCCTTTGCTGACAATGTAAGCCAAACTTGTCAACTTTAAAATCAATATTATAAAGTACTCATAAAGTAACAGTGTAGTATGCTATGATTTATTATACCAAATAAAGTATATTATAAAATGAAGTATAATTTGGAGCTCCTTAATTATTTCAAAATCCTAGATATGTATTCCACCTAACAATAGATCTGTAATCCAACTAGGAAAAACAATCAATCATGTGTTCACAAGTAGAAGCACCAAAAGCAATCAGATTCCAAATCACCACATGCTATTGATGGTCTGTGAAAGAGACTGATTTTGATTGAAGAGAGTGTATTTAAAATTCCCCATCAGTAATCCCTCATGAAACCAAATCACCATTAAAAGGAAGAGACTCCCCAAATGCAAGAAATTTAGCAATAAGGAAAAAAAAAATACATAATATAGTTATTTAAAATATGCATATTGCGATCTCAAATATGTCTACTAGCTAAAACTCTCCAAGCTCAAAAACCGTAAAAATAACTACAAACTTTTATATATTTAAGATTAAATCATATATTTATCTGTAAATTTTTTAAAATTTAACCTGATATTAAAAAATAAGCTCTCAACAAAAACTTCCCCTAGTTTCAAGAAAATGGACATGGAGCCTCAGTAACATCATATATCATGGTAAACAGAGCAACACTATGTGAAATATTAAACAGTAACAAAACTAATTTTTAGAAATGGTAGTCACATCAAATAAAATTATAGACCATTTCATTATTTACTTAAAGAAATTATACAATGTACTATATTAATGTTCGATTCTATGCTTTTTAAAGTAGATCCTCAAGTTCAGCAATATGATGTTCAGTTTTATACACAATTTAAATGCTAAAGTCAATTAACTTGGGTGCTTTAGATGTATAACTAAAGTGAAAATGCATTTACTAGTTTGGTTGAGATTTTTATTCTAATCCTAATAGAACTAATCATAATGATTATCCCTGGGGTCTTTCATATCACGAAAAAGTAAATTCTCCCCCTACACTAAAAGTATAGAATAAATCATAAAACCACTTCTGCTAATATGTAAGACTCTTTTGTTTTAATTTGGGGGCAAATAAGACACTATTACAATATATAAATCCTCTTTCTGAATCAATGACAATCTTTCATAGTAAGTAATAGCACAGATCCTATAACAATATGGAACAGTTTTAGGAAAAATTTAAAAATTCATTGTAATCAAATGACTTTACACAGGTATTTTTCACATGTGATTCTTCAAAGTAGCTCTCAACTTGTTGAACTTACAGATATTATTTCCAATTCCAGGGTACTGAGCTTTTGTTTTAATACAACATTCATGAAAGGAAATCAAGCTAACCAAGAAAAAAAATTTTAAGCATGAATTAAATATTACAAATAAATAGATGAATTATTGTTGCCACCTACAAACACAACATGGTGAGCTTTCATGAAAGAAGAAAATTCTACAGAGGCTTTAACTGTTGCTAATAAAGGAAAATGATAGATTGGAAGGAAAATGGATTAGACTTAGTTTGAAAACTTGGTCCAAGGCTTAGCTGGACATTTAATGATAGTCTGTAAACTTGAAGGGACCATTAAAAAGCTCTTCTATTACAGTCTTCTTGGTAGTAAAATGAGATTAACACCTGACCTTACTACTACCCTACATGACTGTTGGGAAGACCACAAAAAAAGAATAAATTGGTGCTATTTAACTCTCAAGTATTATTCCTAATTCTTTAGTCTTAAGTGTACATTAAAAAAAAACAACCTTTAATAATTAAAAGTAGTAGTTACACTTACCTCCTTCTTTCGGTTCTTTAACATATTCTGAAATTTGGACAACTCTTTCTCTTGTTCTCCTTTAATGCGTTTGGCTTCATCTCGCAAGCGATTTGTGTGTTCTTGTTCTAGACGTTCAATAGTCTGTTTCTGCTGTTTTTCTAGATTCTCAATCTCTTGATCATATTGACGCTTTTTGCTCTGTAAAATAATGTGGCTCAGGATCATTTAACTTGTCTATCACTCACGTATTGAAGAGTACATAACCAGCATTTAAACGTAGTGATATGACATACAACCTTTGTAGTACTGCACAAGTGGAATGCTATAAACACATTAAGGAATTTTTCAAAAATATGAGCATTTCATTTTTTTCTACACAAAAAATACTTTTTTCTATTATAGAATGTTCAGAATTTTTAAACCATCCAGAAGAATATCCAGTTGCTAAAGTACACTTTAAAGTGCTAAAAGTGCTAAAGTACTAAAGACAAACTTCAGTATTTATCCAATAAACTTTTGATAAATCAAAAGTGTTATCCAAAGTCTATTTTAATAATGTACAATTGCTTGTCATATTCAGATTTACTCTTCCTCATTAAGATTCTTAAATATCCTTTTATTGAAACAAACCTTTTGAAATTATAAATCTTTCAATAAAAGATTCCTGCTTACATAATACTTGAGTATAATTTTGGATATAGGTGGAGTTAAATATTTGTAAAAGGTATTTTAAAAAATAAAAAGCAAAACACTTTGGAAAATATTTTTTGGGGAAAGAGATGCAGTTTTCATAAGGTTCTTTACAATAGAATGCTCAATACTATAAAAATACTCAGAACAAAAATTCATTATTTTCCTAAGAATTTTCTGTTACAATCCAACAAATGTAATCAACAATTCCTGGGTAGCTCAGTCAGGTGAGCATCCGACTTCAGCTCAGGTCAAGATCCCGCAGTATGTGAGTTCGAGCCCTCACATCAGGCTCTGTGCTAACAGCTCAGACCTGGAGCCTACTTCAGATTCTGTGTCTCCCTCTCTCTCTGCCCCTCCCCTACTTGTGCTCTCTCTGTCTCAAAAATAAATAAACGTTAAAAAAAAAAAACAAACTTAAAAAAATTAATCTTGGATTCTAGGGGTGCTTGGGTGGCTCAGCCAATTAAGCTTCCGACTTCGGCTTAAGTCATGATCTCCCGGTTCATGAGTTCGAGCCCTGTCATGACAGCCCTGCTGTCAGCGTGGAGCCTGCTTCGGGTCCTCTGTCTCCCTCTTTCTCTGCCCCACCCCTGCTCATGTGCACTCTCTCAAAAATAAAATAAACATTTGGAAAAAAAATTCTTGGATTCTAAATCTGAGAGGTCAAATTATAACACTAAAAAAGTATCCAGAAATAGGCCCACCTAAGAACTTTGTAAACCATCTACCAGCTTCACGATTCCAGGTTTTCACAACAAATTTTAACCAAAGGAAAATGGAAGACACCTATCACACTATAAGTCAGTGACAGGAAGCCTAGGATAGAAAATCCTTTCAGGCAAAAGGGAGGAAAAAAAGAACATCTAGAACACTGAAGAAATAAAGGCCAGAAATACTGACAAAGCCAGAGAAAATCTAATAATCAAACAAGTTCTAAAACATGTTAGTGGAATTTTTTTAAAGCATCAAATTTCAGTGTTAATAAAAGGATACAAAATCTAAAACTTTACCATCATTTCTTGCTCAAAGCGCCGGAAAATTTGTTCTCGTTGTTGTTGCAGTTTGCTATTGAGCTGCTGTTGGGCTCTTTGCTCTTCTTTTTGAAGGAATCTTAACTCCCGAAGTTCCTGACGTCTGATAAAATTTAATATCAATAACAGGGAAAGACAGCAAAAAATTACACCTTTGAACTAATACTTTTTTAAAAACTTAAAAAATACTATTTTCAAATGGAAAAGTAGTAAGAATAATCAGCCAAGACTTTACTCTTGCTTCTATTCTTATACTTTGCAAAAACTGAAGAGAAGTCACAAAAACGATTTTAATTATGTTCTCTACTCACCTAAGAAACCTCAACTCTTCAGTTTTGGAATCACTATCTGTAACTATCTTTGACGTGGTTACACTCACTTCTACGCCATCAACAACAAATTTGCGGGTCTTCTTCAATGTTTTCTTTTGTCTTCTTGTTTCCTGAGTGAGATTTTATTTTAGTTAGGCTTTATATGGAAAATACTGGAGACAGAAAACATTTTCTTCTTAAAAAAAAAAAAAAGAACAAAACACAGAACTGTACACATATAATTTTTATACCACATAATTAGACACAAATCATAAAGAACAATTCATATAAATGACTAATTAGTATAACTTTTACATGTTAATCATTTTTCTTCTTCTTTTGATCTTGTAACTTCTCAGATACCTCTGGCTTTTCAGTTTTAGAACCACTAACAAAACACTTAAAGGAATGCCTGGGGCTCATCCCTAAAAGAATCTAAATCAATAGGTCTGAGGGTGGCTGAGAATTTGCATTTTGAAAAGGCTCCCCAGGTAATTTTTAAACACTGCCTGGACTGGGAATCAAAATCCATTTCATCAGCAACAATATTATCAACAGCCCTCCTCCATCTCAGGAACAGAGATGAATGTGTGATTCTTGAGTTACTAGAAAGATAAAATGTCTACTGCCTGATGGCTATTGCCTACAATTCTTTATCAAGACCAAATTCCATTCCTCATCCAAATGCTTTTCAAATCCAAATACAAATAACAGAAGTATGACACTCCAAAAAACACAGTTCGGCAAACATGTAAGTATTGACAGCAGATAATTATTTGGTTTTGATATAGGGGAAGGGGTTTAAAAGCAGAGGGAGCAAAAGTGGAATGTGAAAATACTAAATTCAAAATGCATTAGATTTTAGTTTGTCTCTGGCACTTTCCAAGCATGGTTCTGCGACCTCTTATTATTCTACGCTCCAGGCTGCTGGTATCCTCACGCTCCTCTTCCTAAGCCCTGGACTATGATACCCTATCCAGGCTTCCCCTAAAATCTAAAGTGGGCATGCTCCCAAAATATTATCTACCACACTGATAATCTAAACTTTCTATTTCTTCAGTTCTTGGTAAAGTATCCACAATTAATATCACCTTAATTCTCAAAAAAGTATTCGGATTTTTTTAAAAGGCTATTAAGTCAGTGAATAAATTTCAGATTAATGGAAGTCCAGTCAGTGAAACAAAATAAACTGAAAACTGAAGACAATCTATGCAATATGTGTGGTAATTTGCTGCAATTATGCCCTGGAGTCCTGTTCCCAAGGTCAGTTTCCTAAGTTGTTCCACTCTTTTCTGCTGTCAACCCAGAGTCTCTAAGTAATACATGACTCACCTGTATCAGAAATCCATGGAATCTTATGTTACAAATACTGATTCTTGGGTTCCACCCTAGACCTCTACATAGCTCCCCCTAAAACTCTGTTTTTAAATAATTTATTCATGTTGAGGTATACTTGATATATAATAGTATGTTAGTTTCAAGTACAGAACATAATGATCCAATATTTGCATATATTGCTAAATGATCACCATAAGTCTAGTTAACAACCCTAATCATACATACCCCTGGTAACTCTTAAACACATTAAGATTTGAGAATGGCTCTAAAAGCTCCAAGTGTTTTTGCATTTTAGTTTTTGATTTTTTTGTTTTTTTGCTTTCCCACATCAGTTCTCATGGCAGCTGTGAGGACTATGACCAAGACGGCAAAACCCTATGGACCACTGGTAAATCGAGGGTTGTTTACATCCTAAAAGTGCTTAAAGAGATCATTCTTTCAATTTCTCAATTTTTTCATAGATTATGGATTCTTGCTAAAATATATTTAAATATGTGCAATAAAAAAATCCAACCACACCAAGTAACTTACACCGTTTACATCAAGTTGGCAAAAACAGGTAGATATTACCAAAAAATTTATGATTACATCCAGTATCTATCTCTCTCCTTGGGTTTTTAGTTGATTGCCTTCATAGGCCTTACGAGTCTTATAGGGTCAGTACTACACTGATTTAGTGTTTTATTTTCAAAACATACTTCACATAAACTGCAAATTGCCAAAATGACAAAGAAGGGCCCACATACACTTACTTGTAAAGATATTGATCCGCTGTCTTTAGTTTTGCTTAGGAAGCTAGAGATGGATAAATTTAAGTCAATGCTGCTATTATCAGCGGTGGAACCAGTGCCTGAATCAGTATCATTTTCCTTTTGATTCTCAGATTCTGGAAGCAACATGGCTTCAGTTTTTGATAAAGCACCTATTTCCCCTTTATTTTCTGCATCTTCAGAGTTGATATTTATACTGGGTATTGGAACAGGCTGAGGTTCACTAGGCTGTGAAGAGGAAGTCACGGGAGGTTCTCTTTCAATTGGCACTTCACATGGAATTGCTTTTTGCTCTGTATCTATCTGAGCAGTAGCTTCATGAGCATCTGGAGTTTCATTTCCTAAAGCCTCTTGGTCAGTATAAATTACTGCATGTCTGACCTCTATTTCTTCAGTGCTACTGGACTCAGTAATTTCCTCACCTTCATTTGTGCCAGATTCCTCACTGGTTTTCACTATGTTCTCTAAACTGCTGAGTGACTGTTCTTCATCTTTATCTTCCAAAGACTTCTGATCTATCTCCTTAGTTTCCACTATGTCTTTAAAAGGAACTTCCTCAGAACCACCAGCCTCAGGACCCTCTGTGAGCTTACTTACTAATTTCTGGTCTACTTCAACCACTTCATTCCCATCATTACTCTGAGCATCCTCAGCATTGTTTTCAACTGCCTTCTGGGCAACGTCTCTTGCCTCATTTGTTCCTATGACATCGCTTATATGGCTGATCACTTCTTCTGGAGTTTCGTCATTCTTTCCCAATTTCTCTTGGGTGTCTTCCTTTGTAAGTGCAACTTCATTTTCAACTGCCTGAATGTCTGCCTCTTTTTCTCCAGTCTCTTGAGAAACTAAGTCCATTGTTTGAATAGCAGTATCTTTAATTTCTTCAGATTTTATAATCTTATTTTCAAATATCTGTTGCTTTTCTTGATCCCTTTCTTCCTCAGGTTTCAGACTCTGTTCAATATCTGTTTCTAAAGTTATTATATTATTCTCTTTTCCTTCATTGACTGAATTAATGTCCATTGTTTCTTGGTCTTCTGTATCAGGCAGACTTTCAAGCTTGGGTCTCTTCTCCTCTCTGCCATTTTCCTTGATTACTATTGTCCTATTATCAAGTTCAGCCATAGCTTCTAAGTGAGCATCATTAATATGTTCATTAATATCCTCTGCAGCTTTTTCAGGTTCATCTGTGGTAAGTTTTTCATTAAGAACTTTGTTGTTAAATTTATCTTCAGAAGTATTACGTTCTGTTTTTTCAGAGACAGATTCCAAAATACAAGCGTTTTGTGAAAGTTTATCTTCTTCAGAGCTGGCAATACTAAGGTCAGAAGAGGCACGCTTACTTGCAGGTATTGGCTGAAAAAGATTTTGTACGTTTTTAATGTTAAAACGTAACTTCAAGACAGTGACCAAAACTATATTTTGTATATAAATAAATATTTAAAACATACATACATGATTTAGTATCTCAATTAAAATTTGATGAAGTTATAAAAATAAAGAACTGACAAATCTTCACATAATAAATAGGACAAAAATGGTGAGCAAGGAGCAAACTTGTTAATCTTCACCCCTAAAATTAACACTTTTGTACTGCTATCGATTACAATTAATCCTTACATACAGGTGCAATCACACCTAAAAACCCAACCCTCAATATTACCTAAATGACATTTCCTTTCTAAATACTGACCAAAGAATTTTCTGTTTCCTCATCATCATCTTCCTCTTTGCCATCTTCAACTTCTTCTGTTACTTCAGCCTTTGCCTCTGCAATCAGCTCTCGAATTGGTTTGTTGGAATCAACCGTAACAAAAGGATGCTGTTTGATCATTAAGAAGAACACACTTACTAACAGCTGAAATGCTGGCTTATAAAATTTCAAACACAAAAAATACACATTATTATGCGGTAAAAATATGAACACATGAGTAAGAAAAATATAAAAAACTTCAGATGATGTTACATCTGGGCAAGGAAGAAGAAAGGGATTGAGCAGGAATAGGGACTGCCTACAACTATACATCTTTTTTAAAGAATCTGAAGGAAATAGGTCAAAAATGGTACCACATATCTGGATAATAGGTGCATGTACGTTTCTGTATGTTTGAAATTTTAAATTAAATTAAATTAAAATTAAATTTTAAAAGTTTCAAACTGGTACATTTTTAGTTCTTTAAAAGTAACAACAGTATGTTTAAATCCTGTATAATCCTTAATAAAATGTTTACAAAAAGCCTTAGAGTTTTGTTTAGAGTCTTGCAAATAACTGCTTTCTTGACATGGTTCTAACACTCTTAAGAGTAAGAAAAAATTTTATTCACCTTTGTATACTCAGCAGCATTTAACAGTGTCTGTCACAGCCTAAGACCTTCTAAAGTGAGGGTAAAAAAATAGTAAGAGAAAGTGTGTTCTAGGGATGTACTGTTGCACAGAAGAAGGCAATTTCTTCTGCTTTTTTCCCCTGAGATAAACAGATCAACTTAATACACTGTAATGCAGGAATTATACAGTAACTCAACCTAACAGTAAGTGCCTCAAGATTTGTCATTTTGTTTGTCCACCTATATTATGTAACAAATTCCTATTTCAAATGTTACAAATAGGTCCTGCTATAAAACAAAATTATCTAATCACTTTAACACTTTTTTTAAAAAAGTCAGCAATATTTACTGAACATTATCCTCACTGTAAGAAATATTTAAAAAAATCAATTAGCTCATGACCCCTGCCCCAAGGGGCTTGCTTTCTAGTAACTGGAGAGAAAAACTGCAAGTAACTAACAAAGTGGAATAACTAACAAAATAAAAAGAACACAAACTGAAATCAAAAAAGCACAAAAGGAATGACTTATAAGCTAAATGCCTTTTAGTAAAGCAGCATATATGTTTATAAAGCAAATGTTTACTTGTATTCAAGTATGTTGTACACATTGTATGTGTACAACATATTTTACAATGTATTCTGAGTTTCCATAGGGAAACTCCAGTGAAAAGAGAATACACTGAATCTGAAATTGTACTCTTCTCAATGAGATATTAAAATAATTACACAGTTTGCTGTTGTCATATTACTCTGATCTTACCTGCAGTAGCTGAGATGTATTCCACCTGGAATCCACATTCTTTTCCAAGCATTTCTTTAGAAAGTCCTTAAAATTTGAAGACCTTCAAAATGAAATTTTAACAATGACATTCTATTTTACTTTGTTATTAAAATCAAACAAAATTCTGATGTTATGCTTGTATTTTATGATGTATGTAATTGTATTAATTCAACATAAGTAGTTAATGAGAATACCAAGATTTCAAAATAATATTAAGATAAATACTAGGGTATCATCTGTAAATACAAAATTAAATATAAGTAGTCATAGTTTTAGCCACTGTGATAGTCATATATGCCAAAAATCACAAAACTCTTCTATTATATTAAATTCCACAAATATAAATCAACCACATATATGCCTCACTTTCTCATAGTAAATACTGTACTACATACAGTTGTTTCGTGTAGAACTCAAATCACTGATTTCAAATTTATAAGAAGAGTTAGTTATAAGAGTTTGTATGGTTCTTAACTCTTTTTTTTTTCAACTTTTTTTTTTTTTTTTTTGGGACAGAGAAAAGACAGAAACGGGGAGGCAGAGAGAGAGGAGACAGAATCGGGAGGCCCAGGTCTGCCGGCAGCCATCAGCCCAGAGCCTGACTGGGGCCTGAACCCTGCACAGAACAGATCGCGACTGGCTGAAGTCGACTAATCACTGGCGCCACCCAGGCGCCCCTTAACTCTTTTTTTTTAAATGAGTATTTATTTATTTTGAGAGAGAGAGTACATGCACATGAGTGGGGTAGGGGCAGAGGGAGAGAGAATTCCAAGCAGGCTCCATGCTTAGCAGGACTCAATCCCATGATCGTGAGACCATGACCTGAGCTGAAATCAAGAGTTGGATGCTCAACCAACTGAGCCACCCAGGCACAACTATGGTCCTTAACTCTTAAAAAAAAAGTACCAAAAATCAAGTTTTCTACTCATTACAGTCTTTGTACCAGGTAACTAAATCTACCCTTGAAAAGGTCAAAGAATAAAACATCAAGTATTGCTTTGTATAAGGTTTTGTTTAGAATATTTTACCATTTTGATGGCTGTGCTAATGTAGGGGGCTCAGATTTTGCTATTTTTAGCAGCACTCGCATTGGATTTAATTCATGATGAGGTGGTTCTATCTCAGCCATTTCTATTAGAGTGATACCCAGGGACCAAACATCAGCTTTGTAGTCATAGGGTCTGTCCTTAGATGTTTCACACATGACTACTTCAGGAGCCATCCTGTACAGACAGAGAATTGAAAGTTAAGATGTTTAGCTTAAGAATATTGATTGCAAGCCACATAAAAGATAGACAGTATAATCAATTATGTAGATAAATTAATGAGTGATAATAGCTTCTAACATAACTAATACAGTAGTACATCCATAAAGATGAATACATACCAATATGGTGTGCCAATAAAGGAATCTCTTCTTTGAATTGTCCTTGTGTTTTTAGCTGATACTCCAAAATCCGCTTGAAATAAGCAATGATACAAAAGTATTAATGATAGTTTTTTTAGCAAAGCTCACTGTATTTAACACAGGGAAAAGCATTTCAAGTCTTTAACAAGGCCACTCTTATTAAAGGGTAAACAAAACAGAAAGAGTAACTTCTCTACCATCCTAATTTTGACAAACCCCCTCCAAAATAACTGTCAAATAAAATATCCCATCATTAATATACTAACCTCCTTTATACATCTTCAGATCATGAATACTTCAGAACTGATAAAAAAAAAAGTAACTTTAAAATAAACCAGTCTACCCACTTCAAAACAACTAGTACTACATGCTACAATTAACTGACATAAACATTTTTCCTACAGTGTGAAAAGCATAAATATTATAAGAGCATATTTAGAGAAAAGTATAGTCAAATTATTAGTCCTTGAAGAAAAAAATTCTTTGGCATCTAGGCAAAAAGAGCACATAACTTGAAAAAGACATAAAATCAGATTATCATCAGACTTTCCAACAACAACACTTAGAACAGAAAAATAAGAGTAAGATATTTCAGATTCAAGGAACAAAATGTAAGCCAAGGATTTTCTATCCAGCAAAACCGACCTTCAAAGTATAAATATGGGTGGAACTGTTATTATATAAGAACTTGGAGAGCCCTTCCAGAGTTATCTACCAGAGAATGAACTTCAGACAACCAACATGATCACAGAGAATACTAACATTAAGGACCAGTGATGAGCATTAAACGTATGAAAACAGGAATAAAATGAGTAATTATGGGATATTATAAATCTATCATCAATGTCCTTAAGAACCAGGACTCTGAGGATAGAAGGAGATATACATGTAATACAGGAGTGGTTAGGTTAAAAAGAAAATAAAACACATCTTATCCTAAATTTGATCAGAAAATATGTAGGAACTCATATGACAGCCTAGCTTTGTCCTCTAGAAAGGCCCAGAATGATGACCAATCCATAAACTGTTAAGTACCTCTAACATTCAGAGGCAGTCTTTTTTTTCTTTTAATGTTTATTTTTGAGAGAGAAACAGAGACAGAGTGTGAGCAGAGGAGGGAGGGAGGGAGGAAGGGGGGGGGAGAGAGAGAGAGAGAGAGAGAGAGAGAGAGAGAGATGGAGACACAGAACTGGAAGCAGGGTCCAGGCTCCGAGCTATCAGCAAAGAGCCTGATGCAGGGCTCGAACTCAGGAGATGTGAGATCATGACCTGAGCCGAAGTCGGATGCTTAACTGACTGAGCCACCCAAGTACCCCAGATATAATCTTGAAATACCATATCCTACTAAAAGAAACCAGGACTTCTTAAAGAAATGGCTAATTACAGGTTGGAGGCAAGAAATATAGAAGACAAGCCTGAAACATCTCAACCTAACAGGTTAGACTGTTATACGATGTTGATAACGAAGCTATCAAAGTCTACTAAAGTCATATCAAAAAGATTAATATACCAACATGAAGAGGCTCCCATTGACCAAAGATGGTACAATGTTAAGCTTCAATAAGGATAAAAATTATAGATCTGGGGGCACCCAACTCTTGTTATCGGCTCAGGTAATGATCTCATGATGGCAAGATCGAGCCCCAAATCAGGCTATGTGCTAAGCATGAAGCCTGCTTGGAATTTTCTCCCTCCCTCCCTCCCTCCCTCCCTCCCTTCCCAATTTACACGCACACATGTATGCTCTCTCTCAAATAAATAAACATTAAAAAAATTATAGATTTGAAATCTATAAAATTAAATTTATGAATTAATATTTTTAAAAATACTGGTCCTAATTGAGGATAAGAGAGAACCAATTCATGGTCTTCCAAGTTACATAAATAAAAAGAAGGAATCAAGCATTTTTCCTGTCTTGTCCATATGAACTACACTCCTGAATAACCAGTTGAAGGGAAGTGTCATTTCATATAATTATTCCTAATTTTATAATAAGGATAAATAAAAATAATGAAATAATTGGTGAATAATTCTATCAAAATTATTATCAAAAAATAAACGAAAACAAAGTGACAATTCATTTTTCAACTCAAAGAACAGATCTAGGCATTATGCATCAAGAGCTGCTAATAAATACAATACAATACAATACAATAAAAGCAAAACATATGTGCCGCCCAATGAAAGGACACAAAACCACCTATATATAGTCTTGCCAAACAATCAAACTTGAGACCTTATTTATCTGCAAATCTGAAGGAAATACACAGAGGAACTTACTACAAATGATCATGAATATGCAATTAGCAAAATGCAGGTTGAGGGAAACTCTACAGGTCCAACACTCAGGTCTCATAGATCAGTGTTTCTCAACCTTTTTTTCATCATCATGCTCCTAAGGAGCCTTTTTAGACATTTTTTTCCTAATCCTCTTATCCCCCACGGAATTTTAACGCCACAGATATACTGTTTGTGTAGCGTGGGCCTTTGCAGAGTTACTAAGCATTGTAATATCTAAGATCTTTTTTGCCCCCAAAGAACCAATTTTGGCACTCATGGGAATGCACACCATAAATAAAATGTACAGAAAAGAAAGAGATGGCCGGTAGGGGAGACCTATAAATTAAGAGACTTAAAAAGAAAATCAGATTTCAAATATGAGCACATCTAAACTTGAGAGATGAGCACTGGGTGATAGAGCCAAAGAGAAAGGCAAGGAAGTAATTACTATAGAAGTCAGGATAAAGGTTACCTGTGGAGAAGAGAGGGACAGTGATTCAGATGGGACACATGGAAGAGCTGCTGGGGTGCCTGACAAAGTTTTATTTCTTGACCTAGGTGGTGGTTACAAAGCTATCATCTACAATGCTACAGAATCACTAAGCTACACAATTTCTTGTGGTTTTCTGTATCTTTATTTCATAATAAAAAGATTAAAATTTAGTATATCAAATTATACCTGTTTGATGTCATGAAAAAAGTGAAGTGAAATGACTATGATCACTGGTATCAAGATGGCTTTTAAATATATTCTGTCCTTTCCATGTCCTTCCAAATTACACAAATTTAGACTTCATCACTAGATTTTTACTTATCTTTTTTACGTTTTTTTAATTTATTTTTAAAGAGAGCAAACAAGTGAGCATGAGCAAGGGAGGGGCAGAAAGAGAGGGAGGATAGAAGGGAGAGAGAGAATTCCAAGCAGGCTTTGCGCTGTCAGCACACAGCCAGACATGGGGCTTGAACTCACAAACTATGAAATCATAACCTGAGCTGTGATCCAGAGTCAGATGCTCAACCAACTGAGCCACCCAGGCGCCCCTTCAGCACTAGATATATATATTTTTTAATTTGTATCTACAAGGTGCCTGGGTGGCTCAGTTGGTTAAGTACCCGACTTCGGCTCAGGTCATGATCTCATGGTTTGTGAGTTCGAGCCCTGTGTTGGGCTCTGTACTGACAGCTCAGAGCCTGGAGACTGTGTCTCCCTCTCTCACTGCCCCTCGCCTGCTGTGCTCTGTCTCTCTCCCTCTCAAAATAATAAACATTAAAAATATTTTAAAAAGTCCTATCTTGGGGGCACTTAAAGAGGGCTGTATCTTCCATTTGTATGTGTGTACATACGAAATTAATCCGTTTTCCATCTAAAATCTACATCTATTTCTTCTTATGAAGTTATTTATTTCCTCAGTGTAAAAAACAAAATTAAAAATTCTAGTCCTCAATACTTATTTTAGGCATCCATTTCAGATCTACTTTGTTAGCTTAGCTAAGATTCCATACTTATAAAATAAAGTATAAAACTAAACATGGGAAAAGAAACCCACTAGAGTTTTGGAAATGAAGATAAAACTAAGTTAGTCTGACATATCAAGAGCTGGATGCTTAACCAACTGAGCCACCCAGGCACCCCAACCAGTCTTTTTAAAGCTTGTCTTTTTGAAAATGAAATCCATCCTTTCTTTTTGAAGCATCTTTACATTAGTTGTCTATACTATGGGAGTTAATGAATAATTATTTATCCACTATTTATATTTAAATATTTAAAAAATTAACATGGAGTAATTCTCCATGTTTTACATATTTAAGCCATAACTAAACAGTATTAAGTCACATACATCTAGAGCAAAGTCTCAGCACAAATTCAAATGTTTTATTTAAGGGAAGAAACTTACCCAACTTAATATCTCCATCTAAGGTAAAAAGAATGTTGCCAGCCTTCAGATCTCTGTGGATGATTTTATTATCATGTAAGTAGTTCAAAGCCTCTAGAGTCTGTTTACAAACTACTTGTATTTGGGACTCAGTTAATGGTCTCTCAAGTTCTGTAAGGAAAGGGTAAACAAATCTGCACTGTTATCTAGTGAAAACACATCGGCAATATAATATGTATATCTTTACCATCACTGTCAAAGATTGCACATAATGAATTTATTTTTTTTACAATGAATTCATTTTAGAAGAACTAAATATCTGCAAAGATTACTTTTCCTCATATATTTAACATTTCATTTTAGAAATTTTGTAACGATTATTTAAAAGTATAAAATGTAATTAAGCTGATTTCTTAATTTATTGAACTTCACTCAATAAGATATATATGTATAAATGTTTTAAATCCTTTAAGAATAACTTAAAATATAAAATAAACAAAATAAAGAATAAAAAGATGCTTACCAAGCATCACAGCGTCCACTGCTCCACCTGCACAAAATTCAATGAGGATCTGCAGGCAAACAAAAAAAGCATGTGTCTAACATGACAGTGAGTATTTTTTCTTCAATTTAGCAAAAAGATAAATAACTAGGTTATGGAAACAATATTACACTGACCATAAAGGGTTTTTTTTGTTTAAAGAGTTAAGAGTCTTAATGATATACATTTTGAGAAAGCACAAAGAGAACACATTGTAGACATATGTGCATTTTTAAATCACCATTTTTAGTGTCCCTGCTTCTCTAAAATTACTAGGTACACAATTTTTATTCAGGACAGTATTATATATCCATCTCATTACCACCGACAGATTTTACTATACTCATTTTTAATGTAACTACTGTGTTTTAAGTGACCAAATCTATTTTTTAACTTTACTAATAGGAATAAATCCTAAAAATACTTAAGAGACTTCTTTTAGTTAAAATACACACAGACACACATACACACACACACACACAGACATACACAAAGCTTCAGATCATAGTTCAGTGATTACATCCTGAGGGAGGCCTTCCCAGATCTCCCTGGTATATACCACCATGTACATTTCTCTCTTATCCCATCACAGTTGTAATTTTTTTTTTTAATTTTTTTTTTCAACATTTATTTATTTTTGCGACAGAGAGAGACAGAGCATGAACGGGGGAGGGGCAGAGAGAGAGGGAGACACAGAATCGGAAACAGGCTCCAGGCTCTGGGCCATCAGCCCAGAGCCTGACGCGGGGCTCGAACTCCCGGACCGCGAGATCGTGACCTGGCTGAAGTCGGACGCTTAACCGACTGCGCCACCCAGGCGCCCCTGTAATTTTATATATATCATAATTCATTGAATTATTAATTATAGATAATTAATATCAATCTCTCCCACTAGACTATATCTCACAGTTGTCCAACTTTTTATTTTGCAACAATCTCAAGTAAAGATCTTATCTGGTTATTATCTAGGAATTCATTTTCATTAGAATCTCCGGGAACATTCTGCTAGAGCCCTGAACAACTATATTAGAGGACACCACACTGATGATAATTATAAGATAGTTTTTTTAATTACTTAGCTTGTCAAATTGTGTAGCTTCCTGCTTTTTCCCTTTTGTATAACAATACTCTTATTTTTTTACAGGTGTTTGCCAGTTACAGATGGTTTTCAAATTCATTATATCATTTGAAAAATAGGTCATTACTCATCTTATAGATGAGTAAATACACTCAAAGGTTAACTGACTTATTCAACATAGCAACACCAGGATCAAAAAATATAGGGCTTTTGATTTCCAATCAGATATTACTTCTACTACATACTCTTAGCATTTCTCTCATAACACTGTCCTTCAAGGAAAAAAGAAACTCCATTTCAGAAAGCCATCTTGATTAAATGAGTGTCAGTTTGGAGCAAATGGTTGACCAGCTATTATAATAAATATTTTATTTCTATATGCACTTGTGCCTAATGTTTTCTAAAAATGAACAAAATTTATATATTCAGCCTTAGGTACTACTACTATTCAAAGGTGAGTCTGGTGGGGCGCCTGGGTGGCGCAGTCGGTTAAGCGTCCGACTTCAGCCAGGTCACGATCTCGCGGTCCGTGAGTTCGAGCCCCGCGTCGGGCTCTGGGCTGATGGCTCGGAGCCTGGAGCCTGTTTCCGATTCTGTGTCTCCCTCTCTCTCTGCCCCTCCCCCGTTCATGCTCTGTCTCTGTCTGTCCCATAAATAAATAAAAACGTGGGAAAAAAAAATTAAAAAAAAAAACAAAAAAAAACACAAAGGTGAGCCTGGTGAATAGAAAATAAATATTTAATATTTCTAATAAGTATTCTGTAATTTATTACGATTTACAAAAAGTTTAGGATAAGAAATTTAAAACAATTTCTAAGAAAACAAATTTCCAAAAAATTTAAATGCCTAAATTTAAATTACAAACAAGAGAACTCATTTAATTTCATAATTTAGAAAATTTAATATTCTTAACCAAGTTTCTCCATTTGGGTCCAATGTCAAACAATCATGAAATACTGTACAATTTGAAATATTCATTTGAGGGGCGCCTGGGTGGTTCAGCTGGTTAAGCGTCCAACTTCGGCTCAGGTCATGATCTCACAGTTCGTGAGTTTGGGCCCCGCGTCGGGCTCTGTGCTGACAGCTCAGAGCCTGAAGCCTGCTTCGGATTCTGTGTCTCCCCCTCTCTCTGCCCCTCCCCTGCTCATGCTCTGTGTCTCTGTCTCTCTCAGAAATAAACACTTGAAATATTCATCTGAACATCTGCTGAAGCTAGGATAATTATGTTGTTAATGACCCTCTCATCAGATCAACTCCCATTCAAGTAACATAAGTAATAAAACAGAAGAGATAATACATAAAATAGACTACCACAACTTAGAAATCTCTTTCAGACAATTAACTCATTTTGGCTCTTATAATAATATCAATAGAAAATAGTTACCCAAAGATTGTTCTCATAATAGAAGGCATCTAGAAGTTTGACTATATTTGGATGATCACAAGATGCTAATATATCAATCTCAACCATGTAATCTTCAAGTTCTTCTTCAGATTTCGTGTCAATCACCTTTGCAGCAGCTAAAACATTGGTCTCTTTATTCTGAGCCTAAAAATGAAAGCATCACAAGTGTCACACTTATAATGTATACTTGACTTTTTAAATTTTATTTTCTTTTTAAAATAAACTTTATCTTTTTAGAGTAGTTTTGGGTTCACAGCAAAGCTGGAGTGTTCTCATGTAGCCCCAGCCCCTACAAATGCACAGCCTCTCCCATTATCAACATCCTGCCCCACAGTAGTACATTTGTTACAACTGATGAACCTTCATTGACACATCATCCCCAAAGACCACGTTTACATTAGGATTCACTCTTAGTGTGTACTCTATGCATTTTGACAAATGTATGATATGTATCTACCATTATATCATACAGAATGGTTTCACTGCTCTAAATAACCTCTATGCTCAGGTTATTCATCCCTCCCTTTTTCCTAACCACTATCAACCAGTGATCATTTCACTGCATCCACAGTTTAGCTTTTCTAGAATTATCACATAACTGGAATCATACAGTATGTAGCCTTTTCAGATTGGCTTCCTTCACTTAGTAACATGCATTTAAATTTCCTTCATGTCTTATCATGGTTTAATAGTTCATTTCTTTTTAGGACTAAATAGTCCATTACATATAGATGTGCCAGTTTGTTTATCCATTCATCCACTGAAAGCATCTTGGATATTTCCAAGTGTTAGCAATTATGAATAAAGCTGCTATAAACATCCATGTGCAGGTTTTTGTGTGGACCTAAGTTTTCAACTTCTTTGGGTAAACACCAAGGAACACAATTTCTAGATCATATGGTAAGACTCTGTTTAGTTTTATAAGAAATTGCCAAACTGTACCATTTTGCATTCCCACCAGCAATGAACAAGAGTTCCTGTTGCTCCACACATGCTCGCCTGCACTTGGTGTTGTCAGTATGAATTTTTTGTCATTCTAAAGGTATGCAGTGGTTTCTCCTTTTTTAATTTGCAATTTCCTAATATATAATAATATAAGCATCCTTTCATATGCTTACTGGCCACCTTCTCTAGTGAGGTGTCTGTCCAGATACTTGGCTCATTTTAAAAAAAAATTTTTTTTAATATTTATTTTTGAGAGAGAGAGAGAAAGAGAGAGAGAACAAGGAGGGACAGAGAGACAAGAAGACACAGAATCCGAAGCAGGCTCCAGGTGTTAGCTGTCAGCACGTAGCATGATGCGGGGCTCAAACTCATGGAACTATGAGATCATGACCTGAGCCAAAGTCGGACACTTAACCGACTGAGCCACCCAGGGACCCCATATTTGGCTCAGTTTTTAATGAAACTGTTGATTTTCTAATTGCTCAGTTTTAAGAGTTATTTATATATTTTGGGTAACAATCCTTTATCAGATATGTTTTTGCAAATATTTTCTCCCAGTCAGTGGCTTGTCTTCTCATTCTCTTGACATGCTTATTTTTAAAAGATAGCCTCAACATGTATATTAACTCACATATGCTATGCACTGTGCTAAGTGTTTTGTATACACATAGAATAGTGTTTTACACTGCAGGCTCTTTGTCTACTGGTCAGACAAAGTTCAAATTCTGATTCTGCCACTTACCATGTTGCCTGAGGCAACTTAAAAAATCTCTGTTTTAGTTTCCTTATCAGTAAAACATATTAACATCGCACAAGTTTGTGAAAATTAAGTATTAGCCAAGTGAAAAAATACATATAAACATTTAATAAAATGCCTGCCACAGATAGTAAGAATTCAATAATGTTAGCTATAATTATTCCTATTATTTAATCCTCACACCAACTATGTGATATGTTATTATCCTTAGAGGGGGACATACAAACTTGGAGAAATCAAAAAGCTTCCCCAAGGTCATGCACTAAGAGGCAAAATCAGGATTCAAATCTAGGTCTGTTTCCAAAGCCCTTTCTTTATCTGAATCATTCTATTACCCTTTCCAGTTTTCCTATCTTTCCATCAGTTTATTTTTCTTTATACTTAGTACGTTAACTTTTCCATTTTTTCTTTCTTTCTTTCTTTCTTTCTTTCTTTCTTTCTTTTCTTTTCTTTTCTTTCTTTCTTTCCTTCTTTCCTCCCTTCCTCCCTTCCTTCCATTTTCTATATTTTTCTTTGTACTTAGTACTTTAACTCTTCTATTTTCTTTCTTTGGTTGAGTAACTTTTCACTTCCATTTATTATAAATGAAAGGTTTCCAAGTATGCTACAGGAGCCAAGATCATTTGTTTAAAAATTAGGAATCAGATCTTAAAATACTAAGTAGGTTTTTAAAAGACATTTCAATATTATATATTATCATTGCTTCAGCAAAACTGCATCTATTACCCTTTAAAAAAATACCAAACTTTTAAAAGCTACTAATAAAAATTTCAATATATAATGTCCAAATCCTACTTTTAAGAATTTATCATAAGGAGATAATTTTATAAAATAAAAAATATGCATACACAAAAATATTCATCAACACACTATTTAGAGTAAAGAAAACTGAATGACCATAAATGTCCATTAACAGGAACCTGCTTAAATAATTCAGCACAGTTCTACAATGGAAAATTATGCAGCCATTAAAATCAATAACTAATCAATTAATATTTCAGATGTAACAATAGCTATAATATAACACTGAATGGAACAAAGGCAAGTTGCTAAACATGAGAGGTAAGCAATTTTACAGAAAGTATACATCCACTTTCACATACAAATAGCTGCACAAGAAGTATCTGGAGAGACATCATCAGTGAGAATGGTGGAATTTCAAGTATTTTTTACTTTTTTTGTATTTTTCATACTGTTTGAATTTTTTAAATGAATGGATTATTTTTACAGATGCAATAAAGTACCAAAAATTGTATCAGTATATGGGAGATTTCTTAGGGATCTATCATCTAACCTTGGAAATGATGATGAAAAGATAAAGCAGGTATCAGCCTGTATATGGTAATTTTCCTAAGTAGATTGTTGCTATGTTTTACTTAAGAAAAAACAAAAGTAAAAAGTAGTACTAATTACTACTTAAGTAATTAAATAACCCTAAGGCTCAGGGTTCAGAAAATATGTTTTGTATAAAAAGAGAACTTTATACTGGTCATCACTACCACTCTAGAAGAATAGTCTGATCTACCACATTTTGTCAAATCTAGGATGCCTTTTAAGATGCACCACTATCTTATGTTCCATTAAGGAAGAAAATCTGCGAATTAAACTATGACAAGATTTTATCATTTTGAATTCTTACACCTTTTTAAAGAGAGCTCTTTTGGACACATTCAGACAAAGATGGTTAATATGTATCCATTCTCCTTGTGCATATGTAAGAAATTAAACGCCTTTTGGTATTTAAGTTGAACACTTCTGAAACACTTTGTCACTCAGTTATCTAATGTCTGTGTTTTTCCACAGGACATCATTCTCTGGCCATTAAAAGCTTTGGTGATGCAGCATTTCTTAAAAGAGTGCTCCCCTACTACTGTCACCAAAATTTTCTTTGAAACCATAGACTCCTGTTTTCCAATTATAATACTGATACTGTCTTGATCTTAACACAGATGCTACAAGATTTTTAGGTAACAATCAGTCCTCACATTCTTTCTTCCAAAGGCACTTAAATAGTTTACTGATTGAAACATCAAGAGGCTGCAACTACATGACACTAGGGATACAACTAAGTTCACAATGCACAGGCAATGACAAAGAGAGCAAGACTTCCACCCTGGCCAACAAAAATATGAAGGCATCTTTGGATAAAAGACAGATCCCTTCCAAAGATGTCAAAAAGTAAAAAAGTCTGTCACAACTAGCGAAACATGGTATCAAGTTTGTCTCTCAAAGAAAGAGACTACAGTGGAGCCAAAGATAATTAGAATTCATCGTCTTCTGAGCCAGAGGAAACAAGCCAGTGAGAGGTAAGCCGTTCTCTCACTATTTTACTGTAATACTTTGGGAGGAAAAAGACCAGAGGAGCTGTCCTTGAACAGAAACACTATAATATATGAGCCCTTAGGAGACCATGTGGGGTTAAAAGTCATCCTGCTTCTGCACGCTTCTACTGATGTCCTTTAAGATTTTAAAGATGTGCCTTGTAAATGGAATGGAAAAAATAATTAACACTAGATAACCTTTAAAGTTCTTTTAAGAAATAAATTTTTTTAAAGTTTTAAGTAACCTCTATACCTAACATGGGGCTTGAAATCACAATCCTAAGATCAAGGGTCACATGTTCTTCCAAATGAGCCAGCCAGGAGCCTCTCTAAACTTCTTTATAGTAACAAATTTCATTATTCCATTCCTCTGGATAAAATTAAGCCAACAAGGTACCACTTGGTTTACTATAAGTAATAAATGAAAGTAACATTAGAAAATAAAGCGTGTCAGGGTGCCTGCGGTGGCTCAGTCAGTTAAGAGTTTGACTTCAGCTTGGGTCATGATCTCATGGTTCCTGAGTTTGAGCCCCACAGTGGGGCACTGTCAGTGCTGAGCCTGCTTGGGGTTCTCTCTCCCTCTCTCCCTGCCCCTCCGCCACCCTCAAAATAAATAAACTTAAGAAAATACAGTGTCTCGGGGCGCCTGGGTGGCGCAGTCGGTTAAGCGTCCGACTTCAGCCAGGTCACGATCTCGCGGTCCGTGAGTTCGAGCCCCGCGTCGGGCTCTGGGCTGATGGCTCAGAGCCTGGAGCCTGCTTCCCATTCTGTGTCTCCCTCTCTCTCTGCCCCTCGCCCATTCATGCTCTGTCTCTCTCTGTCCCAAAAAATAAATAAACGTTGGAAAAAAAAAAACTTAAAAAAAAAATTAAAAAAAAAAAGAAAATACAGTGTCTCTTACATTATTGCTTGGAAATAACTTGATTACTTATCAGGATCTGGTTCTAGAGAACTCGGAAAATCAAAATTGAAATAAATACTGGTAAATGTGTGAAACTATACTTTGAACAAATAAAATGTTAAAAAAAGAAACAGCTTCACCTAACTCAAAGCACAAAAATTCTTCATATAAAGATTTAATGTAATAACTAAACAAATGTTAATAGTGGAATAATGAATAC